TTCAAATCTTTAATTTAATAACCCTTTCAAGTGTCCAAGCAAACAGCCACGTGTCTTTTCATTTGGTGGTAAACTCTTGGCTAATTGAAGAGGTCCTTAGTGCACTGCAGTTTTACAGCTGAGGTTTAAGATGTCTTGTTTGGCAGCTAGTGACAGACACTCGATCTCTTTGAATGCTGTTGTCACCATTCCTAAGGAGTTCCGCTTCCTCAGCTGTTAGCCCTTCTGAACTGCGAGTAACCAAAGACAAGGCGTGCAAGACTCAGGGAGCTAACAAGACATCTTCACTTTCACTGCACTTCCGGATACCAGTCGGTGTTTAATTCAGTGCATGTAACGCTGTGGTTTGTTTCTAATGTAAAACAATCAACACCTGACATGAAACTGTGCTGAATCCCATCTGAGAAATGGCTGTTATTACCCTATTGAAACTCAAAGATTGTGTCACTCAAAGAATAGTGTACAATAATAATAACTGTAGAACATGTTACTTACAAAAGATATACAAGCTGCCAGTAGAAGAATCCGCACAAGTAAATCTTCAAACTGCTCGATGACAAGCTCCCATATAGATTTTCCTGTCAAACACCAAAATCAAATGTATCAGAATAACATGAGCAAAACAATAACATCACGTTACAGTTTAAAAATATTGAATATTACCTTCCTCAGCAGGTAACTCTGTGTGGTTAATTGAAGGATATGAAAAAAACAAAGTATAAATGTTACAAAAATACACAGTGAATAGTACATTCCCAAACAGAAATTGATTTGACATTGACTATAACACAATTGTCAATTACATTAAGACCTGTGACCTTATGAGAACCTATTAAAACTCAAAGATTACATTCATCTTCTTTACTTTAAAATGTTGATCAATGTTACACCCAAGTTTAATATTTCAGAAGTGATAGTTACAAACAGTAAATATCTTCATGTCACAAACACCTTGTACTCTAAGAAGAGAACTTCAAATCCAAACGAGTGAATATCTGACAGCGCATGCTGTGATATAGATATATATCAGTTCATACATATATATATTAGGGCTGTCAAATGATTAATCGTGATTAATCACATCCAAAATAAAAGTTTTTTTTACATAATATATGTGGGTGCACTGTGTATAATTATTTTGTATATATATAAATACACACACATGCATGTATATTTAAGAAAAAAATATTATTTATATATAAAATATTTATATTTATATATAATATAAATTATATATAAATCTATATACAGTATATACAAGAAAATATTTCTTAAATATATACAAGCATGTGTGTGTATTTATATATATAAAATAATTATACACAGTGCACGCACATATATTATGTAAAAAAAACTTTTATTTTGGATGTGATTAATCACGATTAATCATTTGACAGCCCTAATAATATATATATATATATATATACACACACACACACACACACACACACACAAGCTGTTCTGAGCCGGCTGCTAAAAGAAATATTTTCATCTATGTTTTCATAAAAACATGATTCTGTTAAAGTGATGAAAGAGGAAGCCTGGAGGGCGGTCTTAGCTATGCTCACTTTGATTTTACTGAAACATAATAAAGCCGGATAAATTTAAACATCTCTTTCAGCCCATTTCTGTGCTGGAAGGGCCTGTGTGTCCCTTTCTTCCAACCTTGTCAAAGTCTAGGGGAAATGTGCATGGCAAGCTGTTTTAACATTTTTTCCTTTAAAACTTAGGGTACGTTGTTTACACCACAGCGATGTACTAAAGCAGAGTAGTCTTTCCCTTTACGTTTTTCATGCACAGATGACAACACTGCCAAAACGATCCCCGTTCACATGCATTATGTCACTGTTTTCACAAATTCACATTTTTGTAGTTTACACAGACAATAGTACTGTTTTCAAAAACTTGCACTTTGAAACCCATTTTCAAAAGTTTGTAATGTAAGACCCCCCAAAACACCATTGTCATGTAAATGAATGGCCAAAACGCATACAAAGTTTTCCGTTTTTAGTTGTCTCCTTGTAAACTACAAAAACATGAATTTGTGAAAACGGTGACATCATGCATGTAGTGTTTCTCTACAAAGTGATATCACCAACTACTGGCCTGGCATGCGTTATTCAGCATTAGTCGGTTTTCGCAGATCCATGTGAACGGGGATTGTTTTGACCAAGTTGTCATCTGTATGCAAAACCTTTCAAGAACTCAAAGGAAAAACTTTTACATTTTTAGTACGCCATTGTCGTGTAAATGTACCCCAAGTAGTATCCATGTATTGCCATAAGCACTTATTAAATCACTTGTTAAATAATTCCATAATGACTAGTAGTTATCAGTTTCACTAGTAACTATTCATTATATATTCCAATTGTGACTAATATCTATTCAATTAGTCACTAGTATTTCTTTGTGTGCTATGTATCATTATGGCAGTTAAGACAAGTAACTATTGCATTGATCCTTTGTAATTATTTAAGAAAGAAAAAATCTTAGATTGTAGTATCTATTCTATTACTTGTCTTGTATAATTTCTATAGTTCATCTCACTAGTTTTATTTTATTATTTGTAATAAGTAATTAATAGTCAGAATGACTACTAATCTTACAAGTGAAATTAAAAATGCTGTAATACATTACTAGTGTCTATCAATTTAGTGCTAGGAAAACTGAAAGCAAAATAGCTAGTCACTAACCAATAAGTACTAGTACCTAGTTGCTAGTGACATTTAAAAAATATATACTAGTCACTACAGACGTAGCATAAAACAGATGCTAGTTTGTTTTAAAAAAAAAAATTAATGTTACACCAGCTTGCCATAAAGCGTGTTTGATGACGTCAGTTGTTTGAACGCTCCTGCCGGCTGATTGCAACAAATGTAACAATTTCATGTCAACTTCAAACCGTCTCGTGTGGCGTCGCTGGCTGTGAAGAACACAAAAGTATCAGACGTACCGTTGAGACCCCATTTTTCTTTCTGCTTTTTCACCTGGTCTAAAGTCAGTCCCGTGCTCTCGTTGACGCTGAAATAACTATAAACTTCTTCCACACTCTTCGTGTGAGCGTTTTCCATCGTTAGACTGGAATAGAATCCCGCTCAAGAAATCTGCCTTGGTAAAAAAAAATAGATACGAATATGCCTATGAGTGACACATACATTGACATCCAATGGGACACAATGAAGAACATATGTGGAAAGTTGAGACGGGCAAATGCACCTTCCAATAGTCTTATCCAACAGAGTTCTTCTATCTTCTTCTTGTTGTTTCCCAAAGAACTGGGAGTCAGTGGAAGCCAAAAGGAAAGATCCTTGCTTAGTACATCACAGTCAGCCCCCGTCCAAGCCTCTGCCTGCCTGGAAATGTGACGGACGACCCCTTTTCACGTCCTTCTCTCCCGTTGAGTGGTGATGGAAGCGGCGTTTACTCGTTTTATCGCAGGAGACTCACTACTGCCTCTCTGCCGCATGTGGAGGACGCTGATTGGACAGCAAGTGTCCAAAGGAGCCCATCAACATCCAATCAATCGACTTTGGCTAGAGCGGCACTGACGTATATCGAGCAGACGTTTGTTTATTGGTATAACAGACTGTCACTCAATGCAGCATATATAACTTTTGTCCAGCCCCTCCAATGCAGGTGAATCCACCACAGGTAAACGGTGTTCTTGGAAAGCTGTCTGCACGTGTATATATTTTTGTACCCTATAGTATTTTATATATTTTTTGTATGTTGAGTTCGTAAATGTAATTGTAAAATGTAATCATTTTCTTTGTCCGGATAATAAGTAGCCTACATAACAACTTTTTTTTTTTTTTTTTTTTTTACATTCATACAACATTCATACAAAAAAATTCTGTGATGTTTTCAATCTCTGAGTCTCGGAAAGTCATTGAAAGTTATTTATTAGTGAAAAATAAATGTTATCATAAATTTAATCTAAGTTTATTATAATCTTTTAGTATTATTTATTTTAAATAAACATGAAAACAACATGTGTGTGTGTGTATATATATATATGAAATTTTAATACTTTGATTTTAAGCCACGTTTGTTCAGTTCAGTAGAAAACATGATAGTTACTAAGAAAGCCACAATTATTTTACATTAAAAATAATGATTAATGTTCACTTACATGTATTCAACTAAAATCATTTAAATAATTTAATAAATAAGTATAAAAATGAAATCTGTGTGGATACAAGTATTACATTTTTAAGAAGATTTAAAATATATATATATTTTCTTTTAATCACCTCATATACCCATTTGGAATGTAAAACTAATAATACTTTTCTATTTTACTCTAATTGTTGGTAAAATAGAATCAAACTGTGATTATAATGTGGGCTTTTTGAACGAGACTGACTCAGTATTAAATCATTTCAAGCTGCCAGATGTTCATTATACTGTGCAGACACACAGATATGCAACAGTACGTGAGGATGCAATGCTTACACCTATTTAGGGTGACCTATGCATATTATTATTTTATTAATATAAGAATAAATGGATGAATTACCACCCTGGAGCTCTATATCAGTATAGAAATATATCTGTATATACGTATATTTCTATAGAAATTATCAGTTTATATATACTTATGGTTATGGGTTCTTTGGGGATAATAATAATTGTCCAAACAATGACATTCTAGATGGATGAATGCACCAGACAGAAAAAGAAAGAGAGAAAGAAAGTTTTACTAGAGGTTCTAAAGAGAACCTGCAGAATGGCACCTGCAGCGTCACTCTGAATACAGGATCTGATTCTGAACGGCTGAAGATTCTAAATTAGAATGTTAGAAAATATAAATTCAACAACTCCATAACTGTATAAATTGTTAATTTGCAATAAGTTCTATGACTTTATTATACAATATGTTTAGATACATTTTTTATTTCAAATTTTCAAACAAAGATAGACGTGAACTAGTCTATCTTTATAAAACTAAACGTGAACAGTCTTCTCACTTTTCCATACAGGGGTAAACAAACAATAGATTTTTACTAAATGTATGATGATGGGACAAATGAGTGTTTACTACTTTAGCACTACCATGACAGAGCAACATTCGGAGATCTAACTGAATTCCTAAATTGGACAGCTCTTCTGGCCAAGGTCATGGCTGTTGTTTCCCAAAATAACTTGGAGCACAAGCGCATCCAAAGTGTAGCACTTTGTAAGGCGTTATCTTCGGACACATAGACTGGAGCTCTGTTCTTAAAGACGTGTCAAAACCGAGACTAGGGACTTGTTGGAAGTTAGTGTGTCAGCTTTGAACACTCTTATTCAGACAACTCTCAGATTTCTTTCACTTTAGAATGCACATATGCGTATTAATATACAGTTTTATCATACATAGTATACAAACAATTGTATATATATTGTTATTATTATTAATCATAAATTAATGACCAGAAAGACAACGTTTACATGGGAAATGGTATCACAGAACTAGCATATCCTTGCCAACATCCTGGATGACGTGTCCAATAGGCGCCTGGCTCTGAGCCTTGAGGTAGCACTGCTTCTTGCACTCCAACAGCGTCTCCAGGTCCTTCCACATCTTCATCTGTCTCATATTGGGCTCCTGGTTCTCTCGCACCTGCTTCACCTGCTGACGTAGAACCTGAGAGTCCACAGAGACACAATGTTCATCGGCTTTGAAAAACATGTCTAGTGCTGCATGTTCTGATGCTAATTGGAGATAAAAACAATCATTTACATATGTTCAAAGCACGATTGGTGCAAAAAACCTGACCCCACGACACCTTATCCGAATTTCAAATTCTTGCTGAGCCATTCAATTTATTGTACCCATGTGCCGGCAGTCAAATCTGGTGTAATTCATGGATTCAGAAAGCTTGTGAAGTAGGCAGCAGTAAACAGTTAAAGGGCAGGACGCTTGGCATACCGTCGTCTCTCCTTCCACCGTGCTGAGAGGGTGGTCCACTGGTTGGACATCAGGGCAATGATTAAACAAGCTTTGTTCTAACACTGGCATGATGTGGCGTGACACTGATCGCATGCTCCACGCGGTTTAGCCGAAATATGTCAGAGGCCAGGCCCCCCACTCTTAACTAACACCAAGTTGAGCCCGACAGATGAGATAAAGACAAGTGAACGACCTGGTGGAACCTAGTTATGAGTCAGAGAGGTTTGACAGATGGTCAAAGACGGTCTTCCTCACCTTGCCCAACGACTCCTGCTCAGCTGTGTTCGAAATGTACTTCTCTCTGCAAGGGAAGGATAGACAATGATTTCTTAAAGGAATAGTTGTTTTAGTTCAGTTAACAAATTCTGTCTTCATGTTCTCACTCTTATAGTGTTCCAAATATACTTGCTGTATTTTCCAGAATACATTTGCAGACACATTTGGATGTGTGCCGAATGAGAGAAGTATGTGAAGTTTATTTGTATAGTGCATTTCCCACACGCCAGGAGTTTCAGTTTTGCTTTAACTAAATTAGTTAAGGCTTTTACAATAAATGTTGTTTATAATAAATGCCACTAGAATTTATGTTTGTTTTATACATATGTTTTCATTCCTGTTCTGCTATGAATTCAATTGAAAGGATTTGTTGTAGAGTATAATGTTTGTAAATGTTTCGGTTTATTTACTGTTTTTTGTTTTTCTCTCAATAATGCGATTTATTGTCAGGTCCTACTTATTTTCTGTAAAATACAGTAAAATAAATATTATATAAATAATTTATAAAAATAAATATTTTTTCATTTTTTTAAGTCATTTTGACCACTTTTACAATACTTTTTTGGGGGTCTTTTTATGTTTTGGAGCTGGACTGATCCTGCTCTCAAATAAATTCTACACAATTTATTATTATTGTTCTACACAAAAAAGAAAATCATACAGGTTTGAAACGACATGGGGTAAAGAAATTATGACAATGTTTTTTTAATTTTTAGGTGAACAATCCTTTTAAATGTCACATTTAGTTACTTTCTATTGAGCAGGTATCCAAATACACTTTCATTGCGTTAATCTTATCTAACAATAAGCAAAAGAACTTATGATTTATGATTACAGCAATTCTCCAATTCCTGAGTCACTCCTGCTTAGGATTGAACCAGCAACCTTTGTGTTAACAGCTGAAATCCTTAACCACAAGGCTACCGCCCACTTCCACATTTAACAGAAATTGTGCTAAACTTTTCAAATGTGTAGGCTGTATGGATCAAAAATGGGTGAATAGATACTTGAAGCATAGCTGAAACAAAAGACGTGAAAAAAATAACAAAACGACCATTCTGAGCAGTAGGCAGGCAGGCATGCTGAGAGCTGCGAGCTCAAAAGAGTCTCTCAGGGATCATTTGTTTATCAGTTATGAAGTACGAATTCATGTGTTTGTGCATGTCTGTCTTTTCACTGGAGCTTTGAGGTTTCTCTATAGCAGATATATCTTCAGTTTCTTACCTGAGAGCCGTCCTCCGCACCTGTAAGTCCATTGACTGATTGATCTTACTCTGCTCTGCAGCTCTCTGCATTTGACTCTCAATAATCTGTGAAGGAGAGGCCAAGGGAACAGTGAGAGAAAACAACAGGATTGGAAATCTCTAATGTCTAAGAGGAAAATGGGTTTTACCTCTCTCATGCAGTTAATGTGATGATATCGGCTTTCTTCCTGTGCAGTCTCTTCCCTGAGTGTCCTCACTTCCTGTATAACATCCGGACATTAAATCACTGTCTGCTCATCTAAGTATATTCCAAAATGTCATTTCATAAGTTGCTAATAAACAGACAAGATGAGACCAAGGTTAGGCAAGAATTTAATAATAGCTATTTTGGGAATTTGAACCGCATTGGCCACACAGGATGCTGAACCTGAATCTGAATTGGACTGAGAGGAATAAACCTGCTTTGTTGTTTAGCTATCCAAATACAAAGACATGAAAAACTATACATTTATATTTTCAGTATGAATTACCCAAAAATGTTTTATCATAACGATGGTGTATACATTACATTATTTATGATATAGCAATAATTACATTTATATGTATTTTGAAATAATATAGTTTATTCATTAAATATAATTGTATCCATCATACTGTTTGGCTCCATTTTGAATATTTACTGAAAAACAGCATTTTCCACCATGGCCTATTAAATGAAAGTTATTAGTTATATATAATTAAATATATATAATTTCACTGCATTTAATAAAAATAAGTAAAATTTTTTAGATAATGTATATATATCAATCTAAAATACACTACCGGTATATATAATTATTATAAATAAATGTATATTTAATTATTACTATCACCATCAAATATATATATATTAAATTATTAAAATAATCTAATGTTTCTGGAAATTTCTCAGATCTTGTGTATATAATAAAATGTTTATAGGTTATTCATAATCAAAAGTTAAATGCAGAATTAAACAGAGAATTTATTTATTTATTTAATTTTCTTTGCATTTTAATTCTACTTTCTTGAATTCAAATTACAATTATAATTCTCAATTCAGTCTTAGGAGTTTCATTTAAAATATACTCTCAATTCAGTGTGAATGTTACACAACCCTGCTTGAGCCCCATAATAGAGTACCTGTTCCAGTTTGGATCTGTTGCTCTCCAGTCCTGCAGCACAGGTGTCATACTGACCCTTTTTTTGCTCAAAATCTGGAGCGAGCTCCTGTTTTAACAAGCAAAACAAAAGAGAATATAATTCTGACAGAGTTGATATGCTGATTGGCTCTTTGTAGTTGATAATGATTCTCAGTATGGGGGAGAGAAACAAATTTTTTTTTTTTCTCCAGTATCTTGCTTGACGCTAAGCACTCACCGCATGTTCCTGTCTCAGAGCTCTCAGATCCTTTATCAGTGGAGATAGAGCAGACTTCTTCTCTGCAATCACTGAATTCAGCTTTTTTACCTAAATAAACACAAATCTTCATGAGAGATGATGATCCGAGAGAGAAACTACCAAATGCATTCACATGAAAAAGTCAGTTAAAGAAACATAGTTTTAATGTTTTGTTATTATATGGTATTTAGTGAATTCAGAATGGGGGCGGTTTGTATTCATGTACTTGGCCCAGCTCACCATTTCAGACATGTCGTCCAGCGTTCGCCCCTTCATCTCGTCCAGCTCGCTCTTGATAGCGGAGACTCTCTCCAGCTCCTCCTGAGTATCACTGTAGCCTGAGATCCCCCGCTGAGCCTCCAGTGATTGCTGAACACGACAACACAAACAAAGCAGAAATAGAACAAATGTTTATTCACCTTGTCAGTTTGATTAGATTACTTACTGAAATGTTTCTCAGTTTGAGTATACTATTTGCATAGTAACCAATCAGTGGTACTTCATAACATTTTAGCTACGAGCTGCATAATTTCAGCCCACAAATCAAGCAAGATCTGAACCATGTTAGCCAACCTTTGTAGCAACAAACTTATAACTAATTCAAAATTGGCCCTATTTACTTACATAATAAATGGGCGGGCGGGGGGGGGGGGGCACAGACAGTCCTTAACCTCTGTATCAAATCTGTAGCTTTGTATCTTGCGTCAGACTTGACAGACTGGCATTCTGACACTGCAAGCTTGCTTTAGCCACTATTCACTCTTTTATATGCAGATAATATGAATGTTTTTAAAAATGTTACAGCCATGAATAAATAAAGGCTTTTTACTTTTTCTAAAATCTCGAGTGCCCTGGCCTCATTTGATTTTTACATTTGATTTACAATTTTTATAATACACAAACCAATCGTGATGTAGCACAACAAGCTCAAATTTCATTGGACAATGTGAAGTGGAATGGTAATTTCCTGGACATATTCATAAATCGGTTGAATACTATATAGCCGCTCTCTGTTTTCAGTTTTTTAATAAAGTGAAATAGCTAAAATAAAAATCGCTATTGGCTACCTATGATATCATTGGTTTAAAGAGTGCAGAGTAAAGATATTATGCAGAGTGAAGAGTGAAGAGTGCAGAGTGAAGATATTATATCAGAAGCTCTGATATTATGAAATCTGAAATAACTGTCAATGCCGTTTCATGTTATTCATACATCTCTTTCTTTCTTTGTGATAACAAAAGTTGGATGTAATGCAGATTTCGAAGGCTGGTGTGTTTGTGCACGGCCAGTGTCATGGTTAAGCACTTTCTGACGGGTTGTGTCTGTACAGACAGTCAGGACTCAAAGCCACAAATCGCAGTGCAAAGCACTTTATTCTGTGGGTACAGAGGGAACTTCACAGGTCAAGCTGAAACTAACGGCCATGGGATTTATAATAGGACAGAAATGTGCTGAGCACTACCTGGGAAGATTACATGACTAATCACATTTTGACACTTCAGTCTGACTCAACTCAACTTGCCTTCATCTGCTAAACATGTTAGACTAGTCAGGGAAATTTAAATATGCAAATATTACGGGTGTAGTGGTAAAAAAAAAAAATATTAGTTGCAGTGCTGTGATCACAGTTTCGGTTTGTTTCTGTAAATAGTTTGTCACTATTTAACAAAATGCACCAATTCAACAATTTATATTTTGTAAAATGTCCATATTATATAACATATGGACAACAGACATAAACAGATCTCTTGTTACTGTGAAAAATCAATGTGGTAACCAATAAATGTATGAAGTTTCAGTATCAAAATATTAAAATTCAAAACGGCGCCAGTGAAAAGGCATTTTACGCACTACCTCTTCGTAATATCTGTCTGTCAAGTGGTTGCTAGGTGCTCACTAGGGTATTGCTAGGATGTTCTGGTTGCAAGGGTGTCGCTAAGGTTTCTGGATGGATGGTTGTGGATGCTAGGTGGCTGTGGCTGCTATGCTATCGTATTGCTATGCAGCTGTTAGGAGATTCTAACTGGGTGGTTGCCAGGTCGTTGCAAGGGTATTTTGGCTGGTTGCTATGCAAAGCAACACAGTTAACGCAACCAAATACAGAAACGCGCTTTAAATACTCACAACGCAACCAAATATTGAAACACACTGCAAATACTCACGTCTCAAAAACATACAGAAACACACTACAAATAAGTCACAACGCAACCAAATACAGAAACGCTCTGCAAATATTCACAACACAACCAAATATAGACACTTCAAGTGGACCCCAACAAGTGACGAACCTGGTTGTCGATGACCTGAAACATGTTTTTTTTGTTTTGTTTATTTTAACATCCTGATCGTAAGATTCCTTAGCCTTTTGGATATTATTAGCCTGAAGGATCTGACAAAATACACAATTAACTGTGAAACGTTGCAGCGCATTTCTGTATTTAGTTGCGTTGTGAGTATTTGTAGTGTGTTTCTATATTTGGTTGCGTTGTGAGTATTTTTAGTGTGTTTCTGTATTTAGTTGCATTGTGAGTGTTTGTAGTGCGTTTCTGTATTTGGTTGCGTTGTGAGTTTTTGTAGTGTGTTTCTGTATTTGGTTGCGTTGTGAGTATTTGTAGTGTGTTTCTGTATTTGGTTGCGTTGTGAGTATTTGTAGTGTGTTTCTGTATTTGGTTGCGTTGTGAGTATTTGTAGTGTGTTTCTGTATTTGGTTGCGTTGTGAGTTTTTGTAGTGCGTTTCTGTATTTGGTTGCGTTGTGAGTATTTGTAGTGTGTTTCTGTATTTGGTTGCGTTGTGAGTATTTGTAGTGTGTTTCTGTATTTGGTTGCGTTGTGAGTATTTGTAGTGTGTTTCTGTATTTGGTTGCATTGTGAGTATTTGTAGAGTGTTTCTGTATTTGGTTGCATTGTGAGTATTTGTAGTGTTTCTGTATTTGGTTGCATTGTGAGTACCGGTATTTGTAGTGTGTTTCTGTATTTGGTTGCGTTGTGAGTATTTGTAGTGTGTTTCTGTATTTGGTTGCGTTGTGATTATTTGCAGCACATGTGTTATCCAACTGATGAAGATGCTTTCTTAATTTGCTGGGGGGTTTTCTATTTGCATGTGTTTTCTTCAGTTGTAGCGCATAGGGCTCTCTCAGCCACCATACCTTATTGTTTAAACTTGGCTCATAGCATTTTGATATTATTTTCAGCATAAAGCTTTTGGATTTATTTCGGTTTATTGTGGGCTTGTTCTTGTTCTCCGTTTTTCTGGCAACACGAATGAGTTGCGCCTCATACAGCTTTCCCTGTAATTTCCAGCACACCACATAAAGAAGAGAGAAACATTTCTGAGGCATTTTAGAATACGTCATTAACAACTAGTTGTTCAGTTCAGTTCTGTACACTGTGTAGAATTTTGCAGTTTTCACTTCCTGCATTTTTTGGGGAGTTAATTGGGTTGTAGAATGCGATTATCATTCCCGTAAATTCCTGAACTGGGTGTGTACAGAACAGGGTTAAGGGGAGGTGGTTGTGGCCCAGGCTCATGGAACCAACTGCAAAACTGAGGGGGAAAATTCCCCTACTCAAAAAATAACAGCATAGGACGCAGACAGGGAGCAAATGCCTTGATCACAAATAGCCCAAGCTCAGCCTTTCTGCGTCAAATGGGCGATCAGCAAGTCAGAGGCAGGGAGGATTCAGAGGTGTGAAGTCATTTCCAGGAAGGTGCTGTAACTCCAGTATTAATGCAATTTGTATAGACAGGGATGGGTACAGGGAAGGTATATTATGTACCAGTGCGTATAAAATGCTGAAATGATACGCTGATAGACACAAGCTAGAACATTATTGATGTAAGCAGAACAACGGTGGCCGTTAAGCAGGGTTTATCAACATTTAGAGAAATCTCATTTCCCTGAATTTGAATTTAATTTGAATTAATGTACCAAAGAAGATGCAGATTCGAATTCGAAGGAAGTGGATTTAAAATAAATTGAAATTCAAATAAATACAAATGACAGTAATTTGTAATAAGAAAAGCAAGGTTGGCCTGGCTTGCTTTTTTGTCTGTGTTCAAAAAAGTTTGAACAAAGTATGAGCATTTATAGGCCTTAAGGAGAGAGAGCAATAGAATGATGGATAATGTGCGCTTACCAGCTGCTGTTGTCCAGCTGTGTGTCGTTCTCTCAGGATCTCTTCAGTCCTCTGTAGAACACCGTACTCTGCCTTCAGCTCAGCAATCTCCTGACGTTTTTTCTTATACGTGCTGCTCTTGCCACGCATCTTGGCCACATATCGCTTAAACTGAAACACAGGCAGAAAAATCAAAACCTTAATCAAGACATGGAAAAAGGGCAATAAAAAAGCAAAGAAAAACAACAGTAAAAAAGACTATAATAAAAATAAAAGACAATAAGGAAAAGGGGCAATGAGAAAAAATACTAAGAATTTTTTTTTTTTTTAATTTAAAAGGCCGGTAAATAGACAGAAAATATCCAGGAAAAAATACTCAAATAAATGTTATCTTTATCAAGATGTGAAGTAAAGAAATTTATGAATGTAAAAGGAATAACCATTTCATGGAAGTTTTCCCCAATTTTTAATTTCACTTTTTCCATCACTAAATGGTCCTGTGGTGTGACAAATGAGTTTTTAAAAACATAAGCACTCATGTAGTTTCTCAATGAATCATAGTTTAATTTTAGGTCATTGAATCTGCATTCCTAATTATTTTATTTTTTTTAAACTAAGCCAAATGCAGTTTGAACTAGTTTTACATGAAGTATAGCATGTCACACAGCAGATAGTCCCAAAAATAGGTATATTTCAGGCCTTCGTGTCAACTAATAAAAAAATCAAAATAAAAAAACAGTAAAAGCTTATGAATTATACATTTTGGACAGTGAATAGCCTACTTGTACGTATACAATAACATGGACAGTCAATAAGTAAAAAAGGGAAATCCAATTTCATACAACAGGGTCAAAAGAATCTGCTGTGCAAAGAGAAAATGTGACATTGGATATTTCAGACAGGATCAACAGAGATCACAAACAATGAGCCCTGGTTGAGTGACTGTGTCTCACTAATGACTGCAAACAGAGCAAAGCTGTCATCTCACATGGGAAAATGGTATTCACACACACGCCACCCGAGGTGCATGTGCATGTACGGGCTGAGGGATGCAATGAGACAAAGTCTGGGGAACATTGTGGCCTTGGCTCAGTCTCTGGTAAGGTGAGAATCTCTAAGAGAAAACAGCTCTGAGGAATGAGGGGGTGTGAAGAAGGGGCAAACCAGGGTGGCACTGGGACATCTCAGTGGATCGCAACAAAAAAAAACCTGAGCCCGCAGGCGTGCAGCCAGAGGGGATAAAAAACATCTTCATCTGGCAGCTCACTCGCTCAGGCTATTCTTCTGTCAGTACTGCCAATGGCTATAAATGTTGAGAGGCACCAGAGAGCAAACTCAGAAATCACACAATGTGCCGTATGTCACTTGGGGCATGCGGAGATTGTGTGTGAGAGTTTATGCTTTGTGTATTTTGAGACTACAAGGGCAGACAAGGTTGGAGCAATTTGGGAGGGGAGCAGGAATAATGCGGTGCTCAAGTTCCATCATCACAAACAATCAAAGCAGTAACACGTGAACATTTAAATGCATTATTGCAGGTTCAATACAAGTTTAGTTAAAATACAAGCTCAAATGACAGCATTTGTTATGCTGATTACCACAAAAAATAATTTCACTTTGAGACACTTAAGCCCAAAGTATACTTCGGCCGGCCGTAATTTTCATCAACAGCGCGTGTGTGAGTGACTTGAGCGCTTGAAAACAATGTCCACTAGATATTGTGCACGTGCCGAACGTGTCTTTCCGCGCTCACGGCAAAAGGAGTATACTTTGAAAGGCTTGTGCGCTCAACTGTGCGTGAGAGGGAGCGGAACGCGGAAAATGAAGTATACCCATGCCTTTACAATGGAAGTACATAGGATTTAAAATAAGAAATGTGAAGCTTACTATAATTTCATAAAAGGACTTATATTAATTATTCTGTTTAAACTTGTGTATTATTTGAGCTGTTAAGTTTTTTATTTTTTTTATTTTAAGGGTCATTTTAGGGTTTTAGGCTGTGGTCACACTAGACTTTGAGCATGCAAAATTTCTTTGGACACTGCAAGGTCTGTGATATGATGTCACGTTCTGTTGCGTCTTTTTAAAAGCATTCTGTAAATTCAACATAAATTGCATATATATTAGATCCATCTATCTGGATAATTTGGGTCTCCCACTGGTCCAAAAACCATTCTCTTCCCTTCTTTTTCCTTGTATTTTATGCCACAAGTTGACCATACTTGGATTATGTCTATTTCAGCAGCTCAGACTTGCACATCTAGAGACACACACTCCCTCTACAGTTTCAGCTATCCATCACTTGGCTGCTACTGTTCACAGTTGGATGAACCATGGACAGAAGTAAACGTTATCATGGGGAGGCTGATAAAATCGCAGGAAATCTAGAATTGGGGGAGGGATGGTGGCTATTTTAGCCAGGGTGCCGCTCTATCTGCTCACCCTGCCAACATCTCTGCCGAAGGTCAGACAGGGAATGGAACGTCTGCTTGTTAAAAAAAATGCAGACAGACAGCATAAAGTGAGGACAGGATAGTTCACAGGTCTCAGAAACAGACACAGGCCTGTTCATCACTGACAGTTGCTATGGGAAATATCCTGGGAAAAACTATTACAGCTCTGGCTCTGAGGCCAGTGTGAGAAAGTTCAGGCCAACTGTAACTGTCACCTGCCCTATCGGAGCTGTGCTGCTTAAAGGGGTAATTCACTGTTGACAAGATGGCTTTTTATAAAACTTAGTTATCTATGCAATAGATTTTTTTTTAAAGAGGCCATATTATGTGAAGGCCAAGTATGGTAACCCATACTCGGAATTTGTCCTCTGCATTTAACCCATCCAAGTTAGTGCACACACATTAGGAGGAGTGAGTAATGAACACACAAACACAGAGCAGTGGGCAGCCATTTTGCTGTGGCACCCAGGGAGCAATTGGGGGTTAGGTGCCTTACTCAAGGGCACCTCAGTCATTTCCTGCCGGTATATTGAGAATCGAACCCATTACCTTCGGGTTACCGGTCTGACTCTCTAACCATTAGGGCCACGACTGCCCTTTTACAAAATCTTGATTTTGTTTTTGGGGTCTACTAGAATATGTTTTCATGCTTGAATGTTCAAAAAACACTTCTTTTTTTTTCTCATTGCTGCAGCACCTCTCTTCCCAGTCTGTCATCAATGCTCTAATTAGTTCTTGTCTCTATGAAGCCCCTCCTTCTGAAAAGCACAATGTGGTCTGATTGGTCGGCTGGACCAGTGTGTTGTGAATGGTCAGCTACTTTGAGGGTGTTTCGGAAATGTCATACCCCTTACCATAACCATGAGTTTCAACACACGACTAACGCAACTCAATAAGGCCTCGCCCCTTTTTTTTTTTGCATATGCCTTAGGCAGGAATTATTAAGAATATTGTGTTGTATACAATCCCGGAAGAAAACTCAAGACTACAATCAAGGCGTTTTAGGGAGTTCAGAAAGAGTGCTTACAGATATAGAGAATAACTCTCTTTGGAGTGATTGTGCACTTTGTAACAGATATATTTCAAGCTCAAACAGCAACATTACACACTAAGTTGAAAATTTAAAAATGCATAATAGGTCCTCTTTAAATCAGTGCTACATGACTAGAGAGAATAAATAAGAGGGCTGTGGCTCCTCTGCCAAAAACCTGGTTAAAACAGAAGTTTTAATATAATAAATAATTTCTATATAGAAGCAGATAAACCCTAAAGCATATGCAGCGGTGTTTCTTTGTGCTGTGTGTGTTCGGTACCTCATCTCCACGGATCAGCTCCGCTCCGCCCCGTTCTTGTGCCTGACTGCTCTTCATGTTCAGTTCTCTTTCCACAGCTGCCAGCTCCTCACGGGCCTCCTGCAACTCCTCCACCTTGGTTTCCTTCTTATGGACTATAATAGCAGCCTAAAAGAACAAATTCATTTATTATTTTTTTATAACTTTTTGCTGGTTATTGTCTCCCACATGAGATTTTTTTTTAATGTAAATTTCAACCTGAATATATATTAAGTTCTAATATTTTTTTAAAAGTTTATAATATAAAAATATTCATAAAAGTTGCAAAAAAAAAAAAAAAAAAAAAAGATTATGCAATATTTCTAGGTCATTATTAAAATAAGCAAATTTGCAATATTGATGCTGATAAACAATATGTAATATTCAAAAACAGTGCAAATTAGAAGAATTCCCACTAGTGGCATTAGGGGACATTCACACAGAATGTGTTTTTTGCATTCCATTTTGCAGCTTTTACATTGTTTTTAATGTAAACACAACCAAGATAGACAGACTGTTGATAGACACAAGATAGACACAACCGCATTTGTAATGCCGTTCTAAAAAAATGCAGCGCTTAAATTAAAAAGTTCAACTTTTAAAAAAACATGTCTCTATGCCTTGCGTTTTATCCACTGCCCTGCGTTTCATTCTGTGGGAATGGCCCCATAGACCTTCAGAAACCACTGTGTGTAGGAAGATCAGTTGTGTGGGACAAAGGTCAATTATACAGTCTAGTTGTCATACAAAAGTATTTGACTGACCAATCAGAATCAAGTATTCTGGAGAGCCATGTAATAGGCTATGATAATAGACATCTGGCAATTACATATGAAACAAATGCACACTGTTGTATTAGCAAATCAGAGAACATCAAACATTCTTTCATGTTCAAAGACTCGCAGGACAAAGTGCATCATCTCTCCATTACGGTTATGAAGGCCAGAGCAGAGTCCTGCACGGGTCCTGTTGGGTAAACCTGCACCTGCCCCGCACCAGCAGTACTTAACCGTGCACACGACCCGTTATCTGACAACAGCACTAATTTAATTCCGTACCCGACCAGACCAGTTCTGAACCGTACCTGCATTAAATTACTACATCAGGTAGACAAAAATGTAACACAAGCAATCAAACCAACATTAAGCATTCTGAGTTGATGCATTTAAGAAAAAATAAACACACAGCCCAACATGGTAATAATTAAAAGAAAAAAAAAAGATGAGAAAGTGCATCTGTCGTGTAAAAAATACAAAACTTTTGCTTATATCATGTGAACAATCTGCCCATACAGGCTATTTTTAACAAATGTGCATATTTAAATGTGCTCTCTATAAGTATATAGCCAAATATGAGCCTATACTGTCAAACAATATCAGGACTATTTTAGAAAATTCACTCTGAAATTAAATGCGGTTGTCTCTCCTGAAACTCTGCAGTGTATTCGTGGCTGTTGATACTCTTAGCAGAATGAAAGATTAACCTTTTATTCAAATTGCTAATAGATTATAAACAGAATGCCAGCAAAGACCCCTCCCTTAATGACTGAAGCTGTCAATCACTTCAGTTGCAGCGCGCGAACGCTGTCCTCACGCTGCAAATCACATTGTAATTAGAAACCTTTGACGTTCTCTAGACTGCACAGCGTGAACACAAATAAGCACGGGACCGTTTGAAAGCAGCTGCCTATCAGTGGGTAACGAATTGAGTCGAAATAGTCTTGGCTATAGGACCCGCAGTCCACCCATGCCTATTGATTCACACACCGCAAATGACCACGTAAATATTATTCCAACCGTTATATCAAATATTAGCAGTTCACCCGCATACGTGCAGGACTCTGGGCCAGAGGTCACATGGTCACCTATATCCTGGGTTTCCATTCTGGGCACGTTGGGCTTAAAAGGCTTAAGGAGCAAACACTAAATCACACATTACTCAACCCTGCATGAATAAAGATAGTCTGCAAAACAAAATAAACGTGACTCATCAGGTAAATTGTGAAGAACAACACCTGTTTAAACTTTCAAAGTCACATAGGGGAGAAAAGGGAAAAAGAGAGAAAACATCTAACCTGCTGTCTGAACAGAGAGAGTTTATCATCCATTGGGTCATTACGCATCATCTTCTTTTCGATCAGATGGTTGATCTCTGTGTTGATTTCTCTGATCTAATGAACAAAAGACTCATTTCATTACTACATACACCACCATTCAAAGGTTTGGAGTCAAGGAGTTTTCTTTTTTTAAAGAAAAATACTTTTATTCAACAAGGACACAATAAAATGATCAAAAATTGCAGTTAGAGACATTTACTACAAAATATTTCTATGGCAAATAAGTGTTATTTTGAACTTTCTATTCATCAAAGATGCTGAAAATATTGATAATAATATCAGTTGATAATAATAAGAAATGTTTGATTTCTGAAGGATCATGTGACATTAAAGACTGGAGTAATGAAGCTGTAACTTCATATTTGCCATCACAGCAATAAAATGTATTTTTAAATATATTAAAATAGAACATGATATTAAATTGTAATTATATTTCACAATGTTACTGTTTTTACTGTATTTTACTAAACATAAGAGAGTTCTTCCAAAAACATTTTTAAAAATGCCTTAAAAAAACTAAACTGAACATAACGATACTCAACGGTACAGAGCAGTGTTTGTTAAAGTTTGAACTTTAACATTAATATTCAAATCCATGCGCACAGGCTGACCTTGTCCTCCAGCTCCCTCAGCTCTGCTTGTCCCATTGCAGGCTCAGATGCCACCTTCTGTAGGTACTGCACCACCTTTCTCATGTTCTCCAACTCTCTGGGCAGCTTCTCAGACACCATGTAAGAGTTGAACTTGATGTCCTCCTCAAGTCTCTTCATGAGGCCTGTGGTTTAGGATGACATGCATGTTCTAAAGGGATCTCACTCTGTGTCGCAACGCTTGCCTGTTGCAGTGAGAGTGTAATAAGATTCAGTGAATGTCAAAGAAACTGTTGTGGAGTTCTGAAACTTGCAATGTGCGACCAAATAGTCACAAAGTAAAAAACAAATACACTGGGAATAACGATTTAAAAAAGGGTCACAAAACTACAAGTAGGTACAAATGACAAAAGGTTAAAAAAGTCGGCAAATCGCCATAATTTATACATAGTATATCCTTTATAAATAGAAAGTCAGCTTTGTTTAAAATAATCCTATTTATATTTAATTTGTATGTGTGTGCGCTGGGAATCGAACCCATGACCATTGCATTTTGTCAGCACTAGCTCTAACAACAAGAACACTCTTGAGTTATCCTGGGACAGGTGTCCTCAAGTATAACAACTTACTCTCTGGCTTTTCGTCTGCGGCTGCCTGCTGCAAGTCTTTGAGCTGGATATGAGATCTCTGCAGTCTCTGCTCGGCCTGGAAGAGCTACGCCAGAGACAAAACACAGCCTATGCTATCAGAATCTCCAGTAGACAGTGATTGCTCGAAAACAGGTCATGGAGCTCCAATGTGTTTATTCAGACATAAACACACAAACTGACGTATCCGTGCAAGTATTCAGACTGTCTCTACCTGGTTTTTCTGCTCCTGTTTCTGATGAGCAAGAGACTCTTCTCTTTCTTTTTCCACTCTCAACTGTCTGGCCAGTTCCAGCATGCGCTGGTGGTTTGACACTGCTTCCACCTAGTGGAGTAGAAGAACATCACAAAAACCAGGATCAGCACTGATTTTTTACATTTTCTGTGCAAAAATGTGAATGAAATGGATTTAAATGTGTTTTTGTATTACAGTACATTTTTTTATTACATACTTTGATTACCAACTGAAAGCAATACCAAATTAGCTAACCTATTAATCAATAATTATGCAAACAAAAAAATAGCTTTTGTCCAAATTCTGTGGGTGCAAACTGCTAACAGGCATTATATGGGGTTTCCTGTTATGCCATCTTTTCACTATCATCTTGTCATCTCCGACAAATGACAGACTGTCATTAATTTTCAATTTGGGAGCTGTGAGGAGTTACAATCATATGCGTATGTGGAATTTTCGGATGTGTTGAAATATCAGAACTTTTTTGGCTAGACCGTATGCAACTGCCAGACCGGATGTGAAGTATTCAAAATGATAAACAAAGTGAGAATTACCAGAGACTATTTTACTCATATTTTTCCTCTAAAATGTTATTCTTTAAACACTATTTCAGTAAAATGGCTGGTTATAAATAATAAATTTTTTGTTCTTAAATTCTATGTTCTTATAATTAAACTCTTAAATAATTATTCACATTGATTAGCCCTAAAACCTATACTTTATTTTTCTATTAGAAGCTTACATTCGCTATTCCTTCGTTTTACCATGGCGAATAAGCAAAAGGCAAAGGCTGCTTCAGGACAAACTTGAAAGTTCTGTGCAACTGCCACTAGGGGGCATAATGCAACAATCATACACAAACAGTGACATCAGCGGCTCACTTTGATAGTTCTCTGTAAATGTATTTGCAGGTGCGATTCCATTCTTTTATTTAGTTTCACATACAGATTTTATAGGATTTTAGCTCCTTACCCTCTTTCTAAGACGCTCCACCCTTTTGATAAGTTGGTCCTTCTCATCCTCCATTGCAACAATGTCCTGCAGCGACACATTATTATTGTATATATAATGCAAAACACTACATGACCAGATGGGACTTTGGCAATGTAGGCTTTCTTACCCGCCGGATGTCAGCGGTGGAGAAACCTGAGCTCTTCAGCTGTTCACACTCTTTATGGATATTCTTGAATCCCTCCACCAGCTCCTCATACTGTGAAAACAATAGAATGAAAACAACTGGAAAACGCACAAAAAATAAAGTCACCATGAGAATCAAAATGTACAATTCTTATTTTTTTTATGGAATATTGCAGTATTCATTCATGGTTACCAAGTAAAGAAATTTTAAGAACTAAACTGAAGGAAAAACAAGAAGTCAACATTTTTTAAATGTAAATGTCTAAGGAGAACCACAATGAGTTATATTAGCAACACTTCTGATCACAATAAAAAAAAAAAAAGCCACGTTCTTCCTCAGTACTTTTGCCTTGTTTCCAGTTCAAATCACTAAAGATTCTTAAATCAAGATGCATTTACTTGAGATGCAAAATGAAATAAAATATAAACTAAAGTCTTGTTTTCTGTTAAATTGTTCAAAATGAAGTGAGTTTAAACAAGAACTAATATCCTGCCAATGGGCTCAGAAAATTCAACTTAATTCAACAGGAAGATATTTGACATATTTGTTCTTGTTTTAAGTATAAACCCACTTCAATTCTTGAAGACTTCATTTACATCTACATCTCAAGTAAATGTATCTTGATTTAAAGATGTTTATATAACTGTATTGGAAAACAGGACAAAAATACTGAGGAAGATATTTATTTTTTGCAATGCATTTAAGACTTTCTGCTCTGATTCAAGACCCTTTTAAGGCCTTCATTTGTAAAAGGGCAAATTAAGACTTTTCAAGACCTGAAACCAGAAACCCATTTATCTGTGCCCTCATAATCTTTAATCAAAATAACTTCCCCTCCCTCTTGCAGCAACATCTCTTCTCTTCTTTGATGAAGCGTTTACTGGCGTGAGGGCGCGACAACCTGTCACTCACATGAGATCGACCAATAGAAAACCACAACCATCCAATCAATGGACAAAATCAAGTCCTGCACAACATTTTGTTCAAAAAGCTGTTTCACTCAGATCAATAGAGTCACAACAGAGAAGAAAAGGCTATCACAACTTCCGTTTCATGCGACTTTAATATAAAATCATGCACAAACACAAACAGAATCTATTGGAGATACACAAACAGGGTAAAATCATGGAAATAAAACAGAAGAGAATAGAATAGAATCTAAAAAACAAATCTTTTTTAAGGCCAAGCCATATGTTGAGTAGGCATACCTGGTGGTAGGTATCAGCAATGATATCATCTTGGAGAAACTCAGCAGGAACCTCTAGTTTGAAGAGGAATCTGGCCAGATACGCTCTCTTCTTCAGCTCTGGAATCCTCTGTAACAGCCAGTGCAAGATGGGGTGCACCACAGGCTTACTGCCTGCCACCAAACCCTGGCGAAAACTGCTTCTGTTGAGGAATGCACATTTCAAAGCTGATTGGATATTTGAAGTACTTAAATCAATTTAATCTTTCTATTTGAATAGCAGAAAACAATCTTGGCACCAACTAGGTGCCCATTTGTCCTGATCTAACCCAGCTAACAGAAATATGTCCTTGAACGCTTTGCTAACATTCCCATTAAGTTATGAAAACGTTATTTCTGAATGTTCTCAGAACTGAAGAAGACTAGTAATAATGCTGAAAATTCAGCTTTACATCACAGAAATAAATTATATTTTAAAGTATATTAAAATAGAAAACCATTACTTTTAAATTACAATATTACTGTGTTTTCTGTATTTTTGATTAAATAAATGGAGCCTTGATGAGCATTAAACATTAAAAATAGTAATGTTTCCAAACTTTTGACTTATCCAGGGGGCAAAGGGGGTTTAGCAGACATGGGCTGCTGTAAAAGGTTGTCATATAAAAATGAAATCTATGATGTCTGAGGATCACAACCTGGGTGGACATTTGAATAGCAGTTACAGCAGCCCATGTCTGATTTCCTAAAAAAAAAACACGGCGTTTTGCCCCCTGGGTAACTGGTTCTGTATAAGTTATACAATGTACAATAATTACCTATACATTTTTGTGCACTGTTACATACTCGTTTTTCACTATTTCTGTCTTACACTTCAGATATTCCTCCAGGCGGTTTGTATTTCAGCATCCCCAAAAGAGTAAACATTCTCTTGGCTGTCTGTTCGGGGATTTCCTCACGTATATCGAGGGCTTGCTGAAACCAAATATACATGGATCAAGACAAGATAAAATGTTACAAACAGCTAAATAAATCTGACAGGTATGTAAAGCACCCCAGTCTCTGAAATAGAAATGTAATGTAGAATACTGAATACTGAATACATAAGAATACTGTTATGTACTGCTATGTATTATATTATATATTTTTTATGTATATATATATGTATATATATGTATATATGTATATATATATATATATATATATTGTGCACCAGTAATAATATATTTTTTAACTAACCTTTGGATCAATTTCCGCCAGCACATCATTTAAAGTCTGCAGTAACTGCATAGGCTCCAGAGAATCAAAAGTAATGAGATTTAAGTTTTTCTTAAAAGGCTCCCTGTTCAGTTGTTCAACGATAAATTTGAGTTGTTCGCTCATCTTGAAGGGTTGGTGACTTTTAAACCCAACAAAAAAAACCTGACTAGCTAGCGATGCGTTGAAAAGATGACTTTTGTCGAACAATTTATTGCATTATAGTTCTTGCAGCGCTGTCACAGAATGTCGTTTATTATTTGACTTTAGCTAAATAAAAATGATCACAAATACTTGTATGAACTGTATAACTGCGTATACCGCTAACACCTACAAATCCTGCCTAGGAACCGTTGTCACACAAGGCCTGGTTGCTAACAGGAAGTTGGTCATCTGAAGAGACCGCTTATTTTTTAAAGTAAAAGTCCGCATTAAATACTTTTAAGGGTCTCTGCATTTTTTTAAAGTACTTGTTTTGAAAAAAAAAAAAACATAATAATGGATAATAAAATTTAAGGAACAATATATGTAAGGAAAAAGGTGATATGTAACTTACTATTAATCTCAGTGAATGTCTGGGCATTTTGGATAATTAAGTATTTTGATATTATTTTATTTAGTGCGTGTTATTTTATTTCGACGCCAAATAGCAACTGGTTACTAAATTAACTTGGTTTTCAAAGACCTAACTTATAACCAGGTATCTGGAATGACACTAAATATTATATGAAATATAATATTTATATTTAATATAATAATATAAGGTTTTTAGGGTCCATAAAATTACTTCAAGCGGTCTGTTATTATAAATATTTTTATGAATTAACGTTACTATTGTTAAAACTATTTTAATCTAGTACCGTTCTAGTACTAACCCAAGTAGGCTACTGTTAAAAAAATATTTTCTTGAATTTGTTCTTGAAACTCGACTATTTTTCTTTATTTTACAAGAGCAAAATTGCACACTATATAGGCACTAGGTAAAGTAGAACTAACTAGTAAAAACGAAATAATTAAAACAATTGTTCACTCCTGGAACAGGACAAAAGAATAAAGAAAAGCTATTCAAAGAAAAGATTTCAAAATGTCCTTTCCCCTTTCATTTTCCTTTTTATGCTTAGTCGCACGAATCCTCATATTTTAGAACGCACATCTTTGTTAGCAGTTTATCTGTGAGTAACGTTAACTGGTGTTGTGAGGTGGATTCTGGCGCTGCTGCGTGCCGCTCTGCGCGTGGCCGTCTAGTTCTCTCTGAGGCGCGTGAATGCACGAGTACACAAGGCATTATCTTCATTTCCAGTTTCATCGGCAATTTACAGAATGCGGAGGTGAAAACGGACGGTCTCGCCGATCGAGGTACAAATCCTTGACGGTATACACTGGTATTAGACCAGTTAGTATTATTTTTAATATCTGAAAGCTGTTCCTGGGCGAAAATCACGCATGCATTCAAACAGAGGATTATCGCGGAGGAACTGCCTTGAAACCATGAGCTGCAGTTGGGGGACGGAGCTGTGGGTGAGTACCGCCGTGAGGCATGGAGGCGAATGCATCTGCAAGATATTGAGCAATATAGCGCACAAAATGTTTACGATCTTCATTAATAACATGCATATGCCCATTAGTGATTGATTAATAGCCCACCTTACCGCCCATTTTACAGTGTTGCAGACTGCAAATTCTAGCTACTGTTACAGGAATCTTTAATTTCACGAATTTAGCCCTGCATTTTTTGCATGCACGTCCAGATATTTGAATGCAAGCAAATGCATGCTCCCTGAAGCACGTTTAATGCAGTTATTAGTCATCAGCGTTGACTAAATACCCTAGATGGCAATAATCCTGAGCTAATGCTGTCCCTAACCACAAGTGAATGAGGCTGGAGCAGGTGCACAGGTTATTCCCAGGCAGGTCTTTTCTCAGCTTTGATGTTGCAATGTGTCTGTAACAAAGTAACAATGTTGTATTGTTGCACCACATGTTACAGCTTCTATTATGGTATTATATTGTCTTAATATCTTAACGTTTTCTAATCATTTCTGGTCCTTGCTAGGCTAGCTGTAACATCATGGGACCTTTACCTAGTAACAACACCATAATGCAGGATAAAATATTCAGGGTTGTATAGCCTAGTGGTTAAAAATCAGGGTGCTAACCAAAAAGGTTCGGAATTTCAGTCCAGGACCCACTTAATCTCAAGTTGTTCTAATATGTGTTGGAGAGACCAGGGCATTTGGGTGGGTTGTAACATCATCAGTTTAACCATTTAGAAATAAGTTATGGGGTGAAATCATCTTGCGTGGCCACCACCCTCTTCAGGTGACAGTAGAAGCTGTAAATCTTCATAAAATATTACAAGGGTAATATTTTAAAAGGATTTACAGGACTAAAACCAAGCTAATGGATGTTAAATGTCATAATCTGAATCAGCAGATTCTTGTTTAATTTAATTAAAAGCTACAACAATAAATTATGCATTAATCCAATAGTATGACAAAAGTGCTCCTTGTACTTGACAATAATTTAAGTTTAGGGATAAGTTGTTGATTTCTAAAAACTGCTTTAATTTGTGTCAGACAACTATAAAAATATTGGTCACACTTTAGATTAGGGTCCAATTCTCACTATTACCTATGCCTCAATAAACTCCTAATTACGGCTTGTTAATGGTTAGTAAGGTAGTTGTTAAGTTTAGATATTGGGCAGGATTAAGGGATGTTGAATATGGTCATGCAGAATAAGGTACATGGCCAAAATCATAAGCAACTATGGTGAGAATTGGACCCTAAACTAAAGTGTTACTGAAATATTCGATCAAAGTTTAAGTCATCGTTCATAAAAACACAGTTACAGACAATAAAAGATGTTGAAAATGTTACTGTGGATAAAAATATCAGTCGGGTGGCTAATAAGTAATAAACTGAGCATTATTCAAAATTGTCTATTTAAACGGACAAATGCTTTAAAAGCTGCTATGGTACTCACAGGAGATTCAGATCAATATGTTTTGTAACAGTAACCTTGTAACCATAACCTAGTGGTTAATAGGTTTCAAAACAAGTTAAATGCTCTGTGATGGATGAAGTTTGTACTGTGTATATATAGTGATAAGCATCACGGCTAGAGGGCTAGCACTGCTGAATAATGGATCTGACTCATTGCCAATGTCAGACAATACTGCAAACTCATGAAATTATATGGGATGACTTGATATCTCTCCTTTGGGTCCTCTTTCATAGTTATATCAAATCCATCAAAGCAAAATCTATACTTTTTTTATCTCCTAAAGTGTTCTGTTGGCACTATACCTTCATTGCTATTTCATATTTTGTAACTGATATGAACGTAAGACTCTAAATGTCCAGTCCTTCAAATGTTAACTTTCAGTCTGTTGTTTTGCTGTCCTTTGCAGGATCAGTTTGATAATCTAGAGAAACACACTCAGTGGGGCATTGAGTTTTTGGAGCGCTACACTAAGTTTGTGAAGGAACGGTCTGAAATCGAACTGAGCTATGCCAAACAGATCAGGTAAGATTTGTAACTCATATTTGTAGATCTTATAATGATAGGGTCATGATACAAGTCACATTTATTTATTAAGCGCTTTATACAAAAAAAATATTGTTTAAACAGCAGCTTGACTGTAATAAACAGGAAAATAACAGTGTTAATGTTAAAAAATTTGAATGTTACAGTTTTGAAACAACTTTTAGCTGTAAAGCTCAGCAGAAGACATCTTTTTTATTTGGCTCAATTCAGATTCAATGTTGATTCAGTTCAGTTCAATAACACTGTGAATGTTGCGAAGTTCATTAATTATAAAATGACTTCAACAGCAAAAGACAATAGGATCATTATCTAGCTCAATTCAAGTTTTTGTGTTGTCATCTGATACTATCAGTACAGTAGTCACATCGATAATATTTTCTGAATACTAAATGTGTCAGTTTTGTAGGGATGAGCGGTGTAACCAAAATATTAAATCACAGTAATTGTATATATTATAATCTAATTATAATTCACTAAAAAAGTGATATATTCAATAACCACGTTGCATTCTCTATTTTTGCATAATCCAGTGAATTAAATACTATTTTTGATCCTCACAGATTGATACTGTATATCACTGCATCAGCAAAGTACTGAACTGTTAGTCAGAATTGATTAGTTATGTCTGAATATGCCAGATATCTGGATAACATATGATTCACATTAAATGGCAAATGTTCATAAAGATGCTGTTATATGAGGACAAGGTATTATGTCAGTGAGAACAAACATTAAACAGGTCACATGTCCAATGTGTATTGCCATGGATACTGGGTTTCCACAGCTCTGACCTACATTTTTATTATCCACCACTGATGCTGTAATATTTCTTCCTGACTGCATTTTGGAAGTTTATTAAGCAGCAGTTTCCACTGGATATGTTGACCCCGAGGATACTGGATGACTTACCAGCATCATCTGCGCTCCTGCTCAAGGACATACGCAGAGAAACCTCAGCGTTTATAATAAACCCCACAGCTGGAGCTCGCCGATTTGACCAGACGCGCACCAAACAGGCCCTTTCTGTTTGCATGTTCTGATCTCATAAGAGTAAATCCTCTTTATGTGGCCGTTTGCTCAATCCGTGCATTGTTGTTATTTTTAAGAAGTGTGCCAGACTGTATTTTGTTCTGAAGAAAGAGTCTTTAATTCACAACATCTCCCAGAGGCTTTTTTTTTTGTTGCTGTTGTTCAGATCGCAGCCATGGGTGAAAGATTTATTAAGCGCTAAGCACATGTTAGCAGATAAACTGCATCGACATGGATCTGTCTGGCCAAGAAATAATAGTCCTTTGAAAACCGCTGGGTTGGGTTATTCTAATGAGGATTTATTTAGGGCTTTGTTAAGCTTTTTCCTATTTGCCGTCGCATATTGACACATAGGGCGGCCTATTAGGCAGATCGTAGGGAAACTAGCAGACAATAAAGCAACTGCATCGGTGTGGTCTTGTCAAGAAACTGCAAGATGGTGATCTGCCTAGCAACACGTCAGACTCCTGGGAGGTACCGTTGGGTGTGTGCAGAGAGAGGGAGAGATAGAGTGAAGGAAAGCTGCAGGAAAAAGCATAGAGGGGGCGGCACCGTCAGCATGCGCTCTCACCATCATAATTGATTTTAAGCCATTTATAGGCCCTCTTGAAATTAATCACATAATATTCATGTATAAAGCAATGGTTTTCTCGTTTTTACTGTGTCATTTGACGTCGTCCTGTACTCAATTATCCACTCTGATTGACAAAGGTCAGCCTCATGAATCGGACGCCTTGTTCAGTGGGATGATACGATTATTCTGATGGTGACAATATTAGCTTTTGTTTGCGCCGCAGCCTCGCGTTGCACCACAAGCACCATTAGATGTCATTTGTCATTGACATGCACAATTTCATTCATTCAAATTACCGGGATACAAAGGCACCTTTGAAACAGTAAAATCTCTTAGTTTGCCTTGCTTTCTGCTAAACCAATATTTATTTATTTTTGGTGAAAGAAATGTTTGCTAAATTTGCTGTTTTTTATAACTGAGAGGATGTAAATTAATTAACTAAATATTTTTTTCAATTACTATTTAGAGGTATACTAAGTATCTTTTGGCCCTCTAATGGTTAAAAAACAAAACTGCATGCATTTTGCAGAAGAACATTGTTTTGGTTGTGCTTCGACTCATCGAATGAATATGGTTATCCTACTGCTCATAAAACATTCACTACTAGGCTTAAAAGATATGACCAGTTTAGATGAAAAGGATTTCAAGCTGTCTAGACATGGTACGTCCTTGAAAATAAATTCCAGTACAGCGCTACAACAACCATAATGAAACGACCCTTCACACAATAGATAATGCTTTACAATGACCTCTGTTAGAGAGCTACATAAGGCAATTTATCTGTTCAATAAAATACCTCACTCACTAGTTGAGTATTAAAAACGCCATTGCTTTTACAACATTTTTGTAATTCCTCCGTTTTCGCCATCTTTGAAAAGCCAAGCTAATGTTGATCCTTGTTTTATCACGAGCTCTTTTTGCCAGCAGACTCTCCTCTTTTCTGCGTTTTTTTAAACGGGTGATTCCCCAGAGGTTTGAGATTTAGCGTGTCCATCATGTTCGCATGTCAACCTTTTCCACCCGGTGTGTCAACTAACCTTTGACACTACACCATACATGCATCAAAGTGGCCGGTGATGACCAACTTTCTCTATTTACGGATATGACAAAGAAACGCACGGGCAAGTGATGTATGATATAAACACTATAATATAAACACTTATTATAATAAGCTTACCATAGTGAATCAGGGTAAGACAAAAACACGTTTTGGAACAAGGATTGATGAGGTTTTGACTCATTAAATTTTTTTATTATTCTAAGGAAAAAAGTTACAGTGTACCTTTTAAAATGTGTAATTTATGTATCACCAGCTTTACCAAAAATGACTACTAAACACTTCCTCCATCTACTATTGGTTGGACATATAGATAGTCCCGCCCTAAAACTCACACCATTGGTTGAGCCAGTATTGGGCTGGTTAAAACAAACAAAATTAATTTACAAACGGCTTGCTTATAGTTGTTTAATAGGAGAAAATATGTGAACATAAAATATTGACACCGTTAAAAATACTGTTTTGTATGTCTTATTATAGGAATCTGTCCAAGAAGTATCAGCTGAAGAAGAACTCTAAAGATGAGGAGGAATACAAGTGAGTGAGAACAGTTGGCATGCATAAATCATACACATGCATTGATATCTTAAACATAGCCATTTACTAATGATGTATCAGCTTTACTTACACAAAACAGTTAATTTCCTATATACTAGGGTTCAAAAGTTTGGAATGAAAGATTTGATTAATATTTATAATAGAAGTTTTTGATGTTCACGCTGCATTAAATCAAAAATACAGTGTGAAATATTATTATAATTTAAAATAACTGTTTTCTATTTGAATATATTTTCAAATGTCATTTTTATTCCTGTGATCGAAGCTGAGTTTTCAGCATCATTACTCCAGTCTTCAGTGTCACATGATCCTTCAGAAATCATTCTAATATACCGATTTGCTGCTCAAGAAACTTTTCTTATTATTATCAAGGTTGAACATAATTTCTAACCCAAACTTCTTTGACTGGTAGTGTACACATAAATGAGTGTTAATTTAATTTGAGCAATTTTGCATAGGTCTCATATGCTGTAATTACATTGCATTATTTGGTTGCACCGAAATTATTTGTACACTTCAGTAAGACTAGCTTGAATGTAGAACAAAATATCAAACTTTACAAGTATTATTTAAAAGGAACAATAACATGCTTTTCAAGGCTTTATAAGGTGACACCAATTAGTTAAAAGGGCTCATAAAACTGGCATCCAGACATTTTTATTGTGATTTAAGGGTCCATACATTTTTGGGGCCACTATGTATTTTGGCATTACATTGGCCAGCATTGATATCAGCATCAATATCAGCCATTGAAAAAAGTTGACCACCATTGTAGTCTTAATCATGAGTGGGCCATTTTTAATTAAGGAAGAGAAACTAATTATTGTCACATAATGTCTCATCTTGCTTTTTGTTGATGTATTATAATGTTTTCGCATTTGCTGTTAGGTACACGTCATGTAGAGCATTTCTGATTACCTTAAATGAGCTGAACGACTACGCGGGTCAACACGAGGTCATCGCCGAAAACCTGTCCTCTCAGATCACCGCCGAATTGACCCGCTACACTCAAGAACTGAAGGCTGAACGGAAATCGGTACGAACATGTCTTTTCCGTGCTTTTGTTGTCAGGGCGATGCCAAAAAATCCTGCTTTCTAGAGATCATTTAAAGAGATCATCTTCCAAAAAAAGAAATCAAATCCCTCAATAACATGAATCACCCGTTCAGTACATGTATGAAACTACAGTCATTCTTTCTCTGCGCTCCAGCACAGGCTCACCTCTTACAAATCCAGGGTTAATCGCGTAGGAATATGGTATTATTTTGTTTATGATTTCTCCCAGCTCCGTGGAATGAAGCCAGGCCCAATGTGGGTCATGTATTCAGGTCAATGGAGTTTGAGAAGGTCGCCCTCCCCCCGCTCTTGGCCTCTCTTGTCTAAAGGTTCTCGCACGGGTTCAGGAGGCCTCTGTCTGAGGCTGGTGGCTGGAAGTAATACGACAGCAGAGTAAAACACCACCGCGCACGAGCTGAGGGAAGCTTCATTCCCTCTGATGATGCATTTAGTCTGCCTTTTGTGTTCAAATGTCACTCTGAGAGAAAGTGGTCTTTATGTATTTTTCATAAAGAGAGTAGTGGAATGCCATGAGTGGGAAGACACAAGCGATCGCCTGTGCCAGTTTGTCAGTGAAGTTTTCGCTAATGAGAACCCCTAAATAAATGATTAGTGTTCCAGCGAGGAATTCTGCAGTTAATTAACATTTATTGTACAAGAGTATGTCTTTGCTGCCATAATTGATTTCTTTATGGAATGACGAGGGGTTTGGATCCAGCGATAGCTCTGGAATATAATCTTTCTAACAGCTGCTGTCTGGCTTGATTGTCTCATATTTCATTTAATCAGCTTAGTTTCCAATTAAATGTCTTTTCAGCATAATATTTTAAATGGACGTGTTGGACTGTGATAGTTGCCATGACTGTGCAAGAGCTGAAATAGAATTTCCTAATCCTCAAACCCCCTTAATTATGGTAAAAAGTTACTGTACAATAGGCTTTATGCCGAGCGTCACGTGGCCTCATTGCATCCGCTTGTCAGAGAAAGTGTTAACGGCCGTAAGAACTAACTACGATATGGATTTTTGAGGTAATCAGCTAACCTACTAAGTTCACTTTGTTATTGGTGTTTTATGCTATTTAAATATCTAAACGTTAGTGTGAAGAAGAAAAATTAAAAAACTTTTAAATATCAATCTGCACATGCGAGGGACATTGGTTATGCTCATTTTTGCTTGCTCCTTTTAAAGGATTAGTTCACTTTAAAAAAAACTTTTGCTGATAATTTACTCACCCCCATGTCATCCAAAATGTCCATGTCTTTCTTTCTTCAGTCGAAAAGAAATTAAGGTTTTTGATGAAAACATTCCAGGATTTTTCTCTATATAATGCACTTTGCTGGGCAGCAAACGGTTCAAGGTCCAAAAGACAGTTTCAGTGCAAACTGCAAACTGTTCAAATGGCTTTAAACGATTCCAGACGATGAATAAGGGTCTTATCAAGCGAAACCATCGCTTATTTAAAAAAGAAATAACAAAGTTTAAGTTTTATAAGCTCAAATGCTCGCCTTGCTCTGTTCTGTGTGACTCTCCTGTTCGAACTCGTTCATCAAAATGAACGAATCTTTTTCCGAGTCAATTCGTTCATTTTGTTCGTTAAATGAACGAATTGACTCGGAAAAAGATTCGTTCATTTTGATCAAAAACCTTAATTTCTTTTCGACTGAAGAAATAAAGACATGGACATCTTGGATGACATGGGGGTGAGTAAATTATCAGCAAAAGTTTTTTTAAAAGTGAACTAATCCTTTAAGTTATCTTGAGTAAAACCGCAAAAACTTTCATGAAGGACATACAAAAGACCTGAATCGGAAGCGATGTGATCTGTTTTCCGGCTTGGTCACGTGACGCTCGGCATAAAGCCTATACAGTTTTTCATGGATTGTTTCTGGTATAAACAGCCACATTTGAAAAAATTAAAATAATAGGGTGAATTATGATAAAATGAGCTATTAATGTGTATTAATTTAATTCCTTTTCTATAAATTTTTTTTATCTATCCTAATGTTCTGTACCCTTTTTTATTAACCTCCAACTGTACAGACTCCATTTCAACTTGTTTGTTTTTAGTTTTGCACATTTTCTTTGCATTTTCTTAAGTGAATGTAGAAAATCTAGTTTTCACTATTTGTAACTACCGTTCAAAAGTTTGGGGTCAGTACTTAAAAAAAAAATATATATATATAATAGTTTTATTCATCAAGAATGCATTAAATTGATCAAAAGTGACAGTAAAGATGTTTATAATGTTACAAAAGATTTCTATATTTTTTATTCATCAAAGAATCCTGAAACAAAATTAAGCATGTGGATCATGTGATACTGAAGAGTGGAGTAACGGCTGCTGAAAATTCAGCGTTGCCATCACAGGAATACATTACATTGTAAGATTTATTAAAATATAAACAGTTATTTTAAATTGTAATTAATTGTATATTCAAGTTTTTACTGCATTTTTGATGGAATGAATGCAGCCTTGGTGAGCATGAGAGGGAAAAAAATCTTAACAACCCTAAACTTTTGAATGGTAGTGTATTAAATTGTAATTCTATTTCTTGTCTTTTCTTTCCTATAGCATTTCCATGATGGCCGCAGAGCGCAACAGCACATTGAGAATTCCTGGAAGCAGCTGGAATCGGTGAGTCCGTTTGACTGAACAGAACATAGTGTGACTATTTAAATTTTTCCTGATACTGCCTTCTCTTTCATCACCTGTCTGAGATATGAGCTAGAACTGGGACACTTTGTACAGTTGACGCTTGTGTGAAATGAGCCACAGGTGTCTGTAAAAGGTGTCTCTTTTAAAATAAGCAACAACTTACTGCTACAGGTTTTAATACAAAAAGACAGGGCTTAGATAAAGCCAGGATTAGGCCTTAGTTCCATTAGGAAATTTAAGTAGCTTCAGAAAAAACATTACTGATGTACATAAGATGCATGAGATAAAACAACGGCACTGACATATTTTAGGATTTGTCAGTCCAAGTTGCTTTCAATTTAAACAGCTCAAACATGCATTTTAGCCTGAGACTAGGCTTAAGCCTTGTCTGTAAAACTGGGGGATAGAGTAACTAACTAGAAGTAGCGCCACTACAAGCTGAACTACGTTTTTTTAGTCACTTGACCGTTGCATACTTTTTTTCAGCAATTAAAAAATAATACTTTTGAATTCCTCATTTTAATGCAAGTTTCTTTGCTCTTTTCAGAGTAAGAGAAGATTTGAAAGAGACTGTAAGGAAGCGGATCGCGCCCAGCATTACTTCGACAAGGTGGATGCCGACATTAACGTGACTAAAGCAGACGTGGAAAAGGTATGGATCTTGTGTGTGTGTGTGTGTGTGTGTGATGGAGAAGAGACCGATCCTATCATAAACCCCTCATTCTCCATGACTGCTTTCATCCTTTTCTGTGAGTCTGTGTGGATGATCCCTCTTTGGAACGAGGCGGTGGTGACGGACGCTGATATAACCGATGTCAAGTTCCCACCTTACACCTTTTACTGTACCTCACCTGCTCCTACCTTCTCTGTACTGCAGAAAATACACATTTTGTTCAAAGAGAAGTTGGACAGTATGCACGATAAATCTGTGATCAAATTGGTACCTGCTAAATTTCCGTTGTTTTTTTATTTGGCATTGGGCAGATATTTGAAAAAGATAATATTATATATTATTTTCCAATTCAAACAAACCAAATAATGTAATATTCAATGCCAGGTTTCAAAAACGTAAACAGTTTGCTTTTCTACTGTAAAATGACTGGCAAAATGATAAACTGGAGCTTTAGTATGAACACTAAGGCTGGACGATGTATATTGTAAATATAGTATATAGATTCACCATGATTATAATTGCAAATTGAATTAATACGATTAAGCAGCATTGTGAATACTGAGGTAATATTAATGTACTTTTTTAAGGTCGTTGATTTAGTTTCGCAATCTCTCGCTGTTATGAGAGTGTTAACACAGAGATGTTTAATAGTGTTTCAAATTTAAATTAGTAATTTTTGTGAATATTTCGAAAACTGTCTGTTTCAAGCATTTAATACAAACCCAATTAAGTGACTTTAGTGTAAACAAATAATGTGAAAAATAATTAAATAATTGTATATGTTGCTCAGGTATAAAATTCACTGTTGCAAAGAAACTAATTAATCAAATTATAAAGTATAAAATGCATATTTCGGAATCGCAAGCTTAATCAACATTTACTAATACATTATTAAAATCAAAAGTTGCATCTGTTATTATTATTTAATGGACCTCAGATAACATAAACTAACCCTCTTCAATTAATATTTTTATTAATTAACGTTAACAAAGATTTATACATACTGTAACAAATGTATTGCTCATTGTTAATAAATGTTAGATAATGCATTAACTAATGTTTACTAATGGGACCTTATTGTAAAGTGTTGTTTTTTATTTTTTAAATGTTCAATAATAAGCACAAAAAATGAAGGTAGTTTCAATAAGAAAGAAAAAACAACTAATATGGCAGCGGCCCGTTTGTTATTATTATTATAAGGCTAAATGAACAGATTTGGATTTTGTTTAGCCCATGTATAGATGTCTTCTTAAGTAACTTCTGTTATTAGTGTGTCTGTGACACTAATCGACTCTGTCTTTGTTTTTTAACATGTCTTAAAGCGGTGTTCTCTCAAGGTAGGTTTGAACCAAGAGTCGTCTTTGTCGGTGAGGAGTTTGTCAACTTGTTCGGTGTATTACCCATATCAGCAAAGAGTGTTTGTCGTAATTTTCGTTGTTTTTCGTTTTTAGCTTTTGTTACGTTCACGTCTATGCTATGCTGAATCTTTCCTGTATTCACCTTCTACAAATGTACAGAATAAGACTTGTCATGGAAGACTGATGTTCAAATGCATTTCGATTGCGAAAATGGGCTACGTTTACGTTTAGGGTTACACAAAATCAATATCTATCACTGTCACCCACAAAAAGTCCTGAGTTTGAGAGTCTGTTCACACTGTCTGGTTCATGTACATGATGTTGTATACAGTATGTACAGTGGCCACTAAAAGCATTTAGACTTTAAAATGAATGAATTATTGCATTATGTGCTGTATTAAATCAAGTGGCACAAACACAATTTTCAAGCAAAACATTTCAGTTAGTTGTGTTTTAGATATAGATATGTTGTTCAAATTTTTTAAAAGAAATATTGTGACACTTTGGGGTTGCAAAATTTGAGTGAAACAGTTAATGTGATGAACTATTACTGTTAGGATTGTAGTCTAACAGGTATAGTTAGGAAGTCATTGAGCAAAAATGTCAAGTTTAGTGGTATTTCTGAGAAAAGCTTTATCTTTTTTGCATATGCAACTTGTATTTATATTTTGTGTTTAATGCAATTAACATTCACAAATTTGTGTGTGACTTAAGTATCCAAATGCTTTTTTGGTCTGCTGTATGTGTGTTTAGTTAGTATGCATGATGAATGGATGTCTGGTGTGAATAATTTGGACCATTTTCACATTTTGTTTTGGGAACATTCATTGTCATTTTAGTGTGTGTGTATGTGTTTGTGTATTTATTTTCTCATACACTGTCCATCGTGTTATTCTTGTCAGAGTCTTCTTCATCGTTATAATATACTATCTCTGGAGTGTGCAGTATACAACCAGGGCACACTGAGTGATATATCCCACAATGCAATACAGTCAAATTGACCTTCCATTTCCAGGTTTAAATGATCCTGAAGGAATATCAACTGCATCTTTTTTGACTCATTATTTAATCAAGACTGCCATGAGTTAAGACATTTATACACAAAATGAGTACGGAGAACCTAAAGGGACATGGTGGTGGGAGAACACAAAACATTTGCGAGAGAATGCAAAAGCATTGACTTATTTTTTTTCCTCCCATCTCATATCTTTTTCCATAACCATGTCCCTTTAGGGGCTCCATAAAATGGGTTTAAAATTTAGAGTAACTGTTTAATTTTAAATGATACTGTAACTATTTCAACACCACTAGATGAATGAAACATGCAAATTGATAAGGTCATCTAGCAAACTAAGTAAAAAATTACCAAAATGGACTATCCTGGCTCTTCCAAGCTTTATAATGGATTCCAACCATCAGTATGAAGCTCAAAAAAGTGCATCCGTCCATCATAAACGAACTCCACACGGCTCCGGGTGGTTAATAAAGTCCTTCTGAAGCGAAACGATGAGTGTGTGCAAGAAAAATATTCATATTTAAAACTTTATAAAGTAAAATAACTAGCTTCCAGGCATTTTTTAACGTGAGCTACTGTACTCCTTTAAAGCGTAATTTGACAACTTCATCTGCTTAAAGCACCATGAAATCAAAATTGACTCTTCTTTTATTGTGTGTGTGTGGAATATTGCAGTATTATTATAAATTATTTACCTGTGCACATCAATGTTTTTCGAAAATTCATAGAATTAAAATAAGTTCCCCTTCCTTTTTCAGCAACTTCTCTTTCGGCGTGAGGGCGGGACAACCTGTCACTCACATGAGATCGACCAATAGCAATGCACAACCATCAAATCAATTCCCCATGGACAAAATCAAGTCCCGCCCTAAATTTTGTCTTGTTTCTGAAGTCATTTCAATCGGATATAGGTCACAATAAGGATCACGACTTCTGTTTCATGCTGAATTTAACTATGTAAATGTACTAATGCAGCGGTAAATCAACCGACGGCCTTGTTATCGGATAATGCACATTTTCGGTTTTCGCTTATTTTTGAGTGGACGCTCAGTGAATGTGTAAAGTAAATCATTCCATTCCAGTAGTCAAAATCATTCTCCTATCAGTTAAACTCAATAACAACAAAAACGATGACCCACAAATCTGCTGAATGAATGTTTATCAAAACATAGCTAGCTTTTGCGTTATTTTTCCTGAGTACATCATTTGATTATATTTCTGTGTTTGATCTGTGCTGTTTGCGTTGTCTGTTCTCTCTCTCGCACAGAGCGCTTGGTTGAGTGTGTAGATCACTGACTCTATTGATCTGAAGTTGACATCAGACTACGTTTATATTATATTCTGTAATCTGCTAATAGACTCTCACTGTTTGTTTACTTGTCATGTCAAAAGGTGATTGTTTTATTTGTCCGTCCTTGGCCTTTACGTTCTGATGTCATTCTTTGTAGAAAAGATCTTAGTTAATTTTTTCTCTCTGTCTTTTGTGCTATCTGTCTTTCTAGGCGAAACAGCAAGCTCAGTTGAGGCATCAGGTAGCTGAAGACAGTAAAAACGAGTACCTGACATACCTGCAGAAGTTCAACAAGGACCAACACGAGCACTACTACACCCTCATACCACACATCTTTCAAGTAATTGTCTCTCTTGATCATAAATGAAACATTTTATTAAAATATTCAGTCACAGTTTAGATTAGGGTCCAATTCTCACTATTAACTAACTATTAACTATGACTTTTGCCTCAGTAAACTCTTATTAAAAGTTAGTAAGGTTGTTAAGTTTAGGAATTAGGTCGGATTATGGATGTAGAATAAGGTCATGCAGAATAAGGCATTAATATGTGCTTTATACAGCCAATATACTAGTAATATGCATGCTAATAAGCAACTTGTTCATAGTGAGAATTGGACCCTAAACTAAAAAGTTACCAAATATTCGAATGTTGATGAAAGAAAAATATGCTATTAAGCTTAACGTTTATGTCTTGTATGCACTGGTTGGACCATGAACTTCCCAATGATATGTTGCATGGTTTAATGGTGTTTTCTCTTTTGCAGAGGATACAGGAGATGGAGGAGAGGCGAGTGGGCAGGGTGAGGGAAAGCATGCGGGTGTACACTGAGGTCGAGCGTAAAGTATTACCCATCGTCAGCAAGTGTCTGGACGGCATGACCAAGGCAGCTGAATCCATCGAGCCTAAAATGGTACGTAAAGTGCTATGGCTCCTTTATGCTGAAAATGCCCTGTGGTTCCGGATTCCATAGCCATCTGTTGATCGGCCTATTGCCGGAAAATCCTATTCAATGAAAATCTTTTAGGCCATAAAGTACCTTTTTAGCAATGTGGCTGAGAATTGAGAACTGGTTCTTGTTCAGAATTGGTAACATTAAGACAAAATAGCACATACACAATGCCTAATCAGTGTCTTTTAGATCGGTTCTTTTAATAAATCAGTCAAAAACATTTGCAAATCACTTTTAGACTCAGATTACTACTTAATTATGAAGTGTAATATCTGCACTACTGATTTAGTTTCTAAGGCCAGCAGCCATATCACCCTGCAGCCCAAGACTGGTTGCCCACTGAAGCTAAGCAGGGCTGAGCCTGGTTAGTACCTGGATGGGAGACCTTCTGAGAAAACCAGGTTGCTGCTGGAAGAGGTGTTAGTGAGGCCAGCAGGGGGCGCTCACCCTGTGGTCTGTGTTGGTCCTAACGCCCCAGTATAGTGACGGGGACACTATACTGTCAAAGAGCACCGTCCTTCGGATGAGACGTTAAAACCGAGGTCCTGACTTTCTGTGGTCATTAAAAATCCCAGGATGTCTTTCGAAAGAGTAGGGGTGTAACCCCGGCATCCTGGTCAAATTTGCCCAGTGGCCTCTGTCCATCATGGCCTCCTAATCATCCCCATATATATATATACACTGATTGGCTTCATCACTCTGTCTCCTCTCCACCAGTAAGCTGGTGTGTGGTGAGCGTCCTGGCGCACTATGGCTGCCGTCGCATCATCCAAGTGGATGCTGCACATTGGTGGTGGTTGAGGAGATTCCCCCTTCCATGTGAAGCGCTTTGAGTGCTTAGAAAAGCGCTATATAAAATATAAAATATAAAAAAAATATAATAAGAATCTATAATCATTAATAATGGCAAGACTTGACAATAAAGGCCCCTTTAGTTAAAGGGATAGTTCACCCAAAAGTTCACTCACCGTCATCATGTCCTTCCAAAACCGTAAGACTTTTGTTCATCTTCGTAACACAAATGAAGATATTTTTTAAGAAATCGTTTTGATGTGCTTTGTGTCTCTCCATTGACAGCTACACAACTGACACTTTGACACTTCAAAAAGTTTATAAAGAGATTGTAAAACTTAAGTGGTTTAGTCCCATTTTTTTAAAGAGACATAATCGCTTCATATGATGAACAGATTGAATTTAGACTTTTATTCACATATAAACATTCAAACGAAAGTCTTACGGGTTTGGAAATAATGACATGGGTGAACTATCCCTTTAACATCAAGTCAAGTCAAGTCAAGTCACCTTTATTTATATAGCGCTTTTTACAATACAGATTGTATCAAAGCGCTTCACAGTGATAACATGAAAACAATATAACAAAGTTTGTTTCTAAAAGAAATTGCGTCAACGTCCACCTTAAGTAAGGCAGATCAATAATATTATTGAATATTAAATGTCCCCAACTAAGCAAGCCAAAAGCCAAGGCAACAGTTTTGTTACAATACATTTGTTACAGTTTTATTAATCTTTCTTTTTAATGTTACTTTAACAATAAACAGTAGTATTTTTGTTAGTTTATATTAGCTCGGGTCCATTAAAAAATATTAAGATACAATTCTTGATTTTAGTAATGCATTAGTAAATGTTAAAGTTAACATGGACTTAGATTAAGATATGCTTTAGAAGTAATTTTTATTGTTAGTTCATGCTAACAAATGGAAACTTATTGTTAAGTGTTAGCATAATCATTAGCATAAGCATCAAGACAGTATGATTTTTCTTGAAAGAAATCTCAGCAAGGCTGCATTTATTTGATAAAAATATAGTAAAAACAGTAATATTCTGAAATATTATTACAATTTAAAATAACGTTTTTCTATTTGAATATATGTTTGTGTAATTTATTCCTGTGATCTAAGCGGACTTTTCAGCATCATTACTCCAGTCTTCAGTGTCACATGATCCTTCAGAAATCATTCAAATATACTGATTTGCTGCTGAATAAAAGTATTGCTTTCAAAAAACAAAGAAGAAAAAATCTCCAAACTTTTAAATAGGATGTGTAAACTGGCTTATAAAATGAAATGAAAACAGAAAATGAAAAATTAAAGAAGGAAGAAGTAGTAAGGGGGAAAATAATAAATAAGACGATGACTTATTGATGCACCACATCACAGGTAGGACCATGATTTGTAGAAGTAGCACATAGGAGTTTTCCTGGCTGCGAGGTGATTCAACTTTTCCAAATGAAGCCAGCAGATGAATAATATAGCAGTTGAAAATGCTGACTAGATTTCTGTGATTATCGCTGGCCCACTTACAAGCTAACGAGTGGTGATCGTAATGGAGTGTCGTCGCCCAGGTTACCATCAATAATTTACAGCTGCGGGGGAATCGCTGGCAGCGTACGGCTGATGTGCCTGTTGTCTGTCTCATCTGCTAAATCCCGTCCCAGTGCTCATGTGGCCATTGCCGTCCTGTCCAAATATGGCAGATGGGAAGTCTAATTTCCAGCGCAGCACTAATTGACTCATACGAGCTGGGTTTTGCAGCAGATTTGAAGTGGCTTAGCAACAAAGACTTAAGCCTCTCTGTGGCTTTTGGGCTGTGTGTGTGCACGTACAGTATGTGTGTGTGTGTGTGTCTTTTCAGAGATAGTGTGCTGGCCATATGAAGCAGCCCTCCATAAAATCAACCTCCCATAGAAGTCATTGGTTCATTTGGTTGGGTTATGGATGCCATGTATATGCTAAAAATAGTCTCTTGGTCTGACCTGAACTATAGTAGAGGGATTAGATCGAGGGGATTTACAGCAGTCTTATTTCTGTGGTGGATGTGCATTTCATTGTCTGTAGTACATAATTGTACTGTGATTATGACGTGAGTTGAAAGGTTATCTTTGGTTAACCTGTAGCTTACAGTGAAGTCTGTATTGCCATAGTAAATCATCCATGACAGTGTTTCCTACAGGATTTAGCTTCTTTAGCAAGATTAATAACTTGATAGACAATTATACTTTTTCTATTTATGCAGTGTATATATATAGTTTTAAATAGTTAATATATAATATTTATATTTATTTATATTTTATTTATTTATTTACAACAACTATGATGGGACATGCAAGTATGTATCTTTAACTACAAGATAAATTATATTCTAATATATTTTAAATTATATTCTATTCTAAAATATTCTCAATTATTTTCTAAATATAATCTAATATTTTCTTATTATATATATATATATACACGTGTGTGTGTGTGTGTGTGTGTGTGTGTGTGTGTGTGTGTGTGTGTGTGTGTGTGTGTGTGTGTGTGTGTGTTTAAAAATGTAATAGTTTATATATTTTATATAACAAAATGTTTAACTTTTTCTTCTGTTGAATTATATTTAAAGTATAAGAAAATCCACTGTTTAAAATTCATTCAATTTGTGATGTTTACAAAGTCAATGATCATTAGTGTTAAATAATCATGATCACAATAGTGACCAAAATAATCTTGATCATGATTTTTTTATAATCGAGCAGCCCTATAACAAAGTAACAGTTCTGGGCTCATTTTGAGTCAGAAGTAATTACAGTACTTACGGTTTACAAAATGAATTAGTAATCTGATTCAGTAAAGAAGTGAATAATTCAGTTTGATTCGTCAGTTGGTTTTAACTAATTTATTCAAAAGAACCTCACCAGTTGAACTCATTGGGTGTATTTGAAGTTATTGAGAAAAATGCAATAGAAAGTTATGTTGCCGTTTCCAACCATATGCTATATTTTATAGCATATTTAAAAAAAATTTTAATCTTGTAAATGATATACATTACAGTGAACAGACTGTGCTTGTGCTAAATGAAATATCTATGGTTTGTGTTAGTAAATGTAGCGATTTTAAACCCACTTTACTTGAAGAGTCATCCTAATCTCTCTTTTTGTTATAGCACAAAGCCTTACTGACATTTGTATCCCTTTTTAATCTCAGGACAGTAAGCAAGTTGTAGAATCATACAAGTCGGGCTTTGAGCCGCCGGGTGACGTGGAGTTTGAGGACTACAGTGTGTCAATGAAGAGGGCCGTGTCAGAATCAAGCTTCCTCAATGCTCGCGGAGAGAGCAGACGCCGGAGCAGGAGCAAACTGTGGCCTTTACTCAAGAGAAATAAGGTACGGCATCAGACGGATCTGTGGATCATAAACACCTGCTAAAATCACAGATAAGCAAAGAACAGAACTGGACATTTATGGCCCGTTGAGATGCAGTTATATTCAAGAAGTTTTATTGCTATTAAGGAGTGTTAGCAGTGGCTATTTCATGCAACTAGATCATGTAGTTCGTTATAATAGAATCTTATTCTGATGATTAAAGTCAGCATAAAATGGAAGCTGCGATAGTCCAGTGGAAGTCCGATAGTGACGTATATCCAAGTAAAACGAAAACATTTAGAGCCGGGCGGGACTTGATTTTGTTCATTAGGAATTATTTGGATGGTTGTGGTTTGCTATTGGTCGATCTCATTTGAGTGACAGGTTGTCCTGCCCTCACTCCAAAAAACACTTCATCAGAGAAGAAATGTCGCTGGGGGAAGGGAAGTTCATTTGATTAAAGATTACGAGGGCATATCAAAATATTGATGTGCAGGGATAAATTATTTATAATAAATACTGCAATAGTCCAAAACATTTTTATTTCATGGTAACTAAAGCCGAGTTGACACTGTACAATTTTGACATCTGAGACAAATTTTGAGAATTCTAAAAGAGTCTTTGATCGCTAGTTTGACATGTTTGCCGATTAATAACCAATTGCACTCAAATTTGACCTGACTCTAACTGAATTCTGGCAGTGTCAGAAGTTTCGAGGCCGAGTCCTGTAGTGCGACTTCTACGACAACCATCAAATCTAAAACCAATAGGAGCGCAGAACCTGATGATGCAATTAGTGAGACGACAACAAACCACTTGCTCTACACACGTCTTTGGTTGTTTTGATAGTGCCACAGTTTGTAAACTTGAAAAGATATTGGATTACATGCAAAACCTTTAAAGGGGTCATGACATGGTTTTTTGTTTTGTTTTATTATGTTCCCTTATGTGCAATTATAGTATGACTATAGTTTTTTGTACAAAAATGTAGTGATTTATGACCATTTCCCACCCTGTTTCTCCCCCTCTGATTCAAACAGTCTATTTTGGAGGTGTTTCTCCTTTAAGAGTTCAGTGTTAACGTCCATAGTTATGATTGGCTAATGTCAGTGCTGCTTATGCATAAATTATTTAATCATTTTGTATCACATGTAGGCTACACAATGCTCCGCCACGTGAAACTTCGGTCTTCCGATCTTGTACCATCGTGTCAATTCTCAATTGATTTTGATTCATATGCACGAGGGAGAGAGAGAGGGAGAGCAAGACAGTTTGAAGGCGCGCGCGTGGCCGGGGCTCTCTCTCTCCCTTGTAAACAGACCCCCTCGCTGCACGTCAACGCATGCGATGATGTCAAATGAGGGGTAGTTGTCTTGCGCTGGAGGCGGTCATATGCAAACGACTGGTACGTCACTTCGTACCGTGACGTCACAAAGTTCAAAGGATCTAGAACAAGCTGTATTTAGAGCTTGATTAAATAAATGGTTCGTTTATAATGGGGAGGACGTCTTAAGCTATGAAACTTGCAGGAGGTTTTAATGGTACCAAAAAATCAAGGCAAATTTGGTTTCTCATGTCATGACCCCTTTAATAAAGCTTGCAATGAGTTTTTTGTCACCTCATGAGAAGCACTAAACATTGGCTTTGGCCTTGAATATTTCTCTCTCTTCATCTTCTCTGTTCCTGTCTTTCTCCATTCCATTTCTCAATGTGCTCCATCACACCCTCATCTGTAGCTTATGTCTTTGTTAGCGTCGCCCCGCCAGCCCCCTCCCCCTCCCCCCACCTCCCCGTCCCCGGACGGCCTCCTCAACGGCCCCCAGTCCCCGCAGCAGCCCAAGGAGCCCCTGAGCCAGCGCCTCAACGACTTCATGAGCACCAAACACAAAATGCACTGCCTGCGGAGCCTGAAACGTGGGGTAAGTTCACGAGTCGCCACGTCACGCGTGTGTGTTTCCCGTGGATCTGATTGGACGACTCCAGACACTAAAGCACCATCAGCTCAGTTTGGTTCTAAAGTAATGTGTGGATGTGTAATCTGTGTCTCGTTCTCATGCTTTTTATCAACGCCATCCTTAACATATCTGTCTTAACAGCAACATGAAACTCCATGTTTTCTCTGTGTGTGTAATAACAGTTTCCCCTAACACGTTTTTTCTTGTCTTAACATTCACAGCTTTCTCTAAAGCTGGTAAGTCTGACTTGATATTAAAATGTGCTATAAAATCCTCAAGACTTTTCATATTACATGTTTATTTTATATAATAAAATACACTGAATTTGTAATGCTTGATGTAAAGCAAGTTATAAATATTAAGGTTTGACAGTCAAACTTTTGGCATGAAGGCTGATCCACATTATAGCTGATTCTGTCCAAGATCTGCCCACTTAACTGGCAAGCTGTTTGTGTTTGGTTTGTTGTTTTTTAACTCATAACTTTCTGTATCTTTTCACAGGGAACAGGCCAGGAGGACTACAGTCATCTGCCCCCCGAGCAGAGGAGGAAGAAACTACAGGCCAAGCTCAATGACATCAATAAGGACATCCAGAAAGAGATGGATCAGAGGTAAATTATCCAGCTGGGAATAGTAACAGCCTTTCTGCAAAATACCTCATCGTTGTTTAAAACGTACACTAGCGTTCAAAAGTAAGATTTTTCTTTTTCAAGGAAAAGTCAAGTCACCTTCATTTATATAGCACTTTTAACATTATAGATTGTTTCAAAGCAGCTTTACAGCGATAATAGGAAATGAAAGTAACAACGATTGTTTTGGCTTTACAGCAGCTCTAGAATAAAGTTATTGTCTAGCTAAAGTTAGTTTTGATTGATTCACTTCCGTTGCAAAGATCATTAGTTATTAACTTAGGGGGCTGCTAACACGACACCTAATGCGCTCCGGCCCGCTCATCCGCACAACAACAGTGCCTGCTGGCTCGAGAACGCAAACCTTGAAACATTTTTGGGGGGGAATGTTATCTCTGCGCAAACTTCAAAACCGCGAACCTGTGAAAACTGATGGCGTATGGCACATGCGTATTACGTGTTTATGTTTATTGTTAAGAGGAAAACTCCTTGAGATGTGACATCTCGTTTTCGAGGGGACCTCAAGAAAAACATACTTTACATACATACTTACTAACAGAACAAAGACAAAAGCTCTCCATCACACCAAAACCACCCATATCTTCCCCAATCCAATTGTATATTAGGCAATAAACAGTTAAGGTCATTCATATAGACAATTGAGAGAAAAAAAAAAAAAGGAAAAAAAAACTAATATATACACATGCACACATATATATACACATATACATACACACATAGATACATCAAGCATGAAGAAAGTTTAGTCTAGTTTAGTCTATAGGTATGCAGGTTTGAATATATATGTGCACAGGTGTGTAGTCTTTCTTTACTAATTGACCTCAATTACATGTCTGACCTTAAAAATGTATAATACAGAATTATTTATCGCTTCCGCGTAGCCATGTAAACTGGAATTATTTTGACAACGTTTTATCTGTACAGAGGAGACACTTTTTTTCAGCAAGGCTGCATTAAATTGAAAGTAAAGACATTTATAATGTTACAAAATATTTCTATTTCAAATAAATGCTGTTCTTTTGAACTTTCTGTTCATCAATGAATCCTTGAAAAAAGTATCACCGATTTATTGTTTCTTATTATCAACATTGATAATAAGAAGTGTGTTTCTTGAGCAGCAAATCATCATATTAGAATGATTTCTGAAGGATCATGTGACGCTAAATAATGGAGTAATGATGCTGAAAATTCAGCTTAGCATCACCGGAATAAACTACTGACCCCAAACTTCAAATCTGCTCTAAAGACTTATTTGGCTTTCAATACTCCTTGAACATAGTTTTGTATGTTGTTTTACTATTGTTGTGTTCCTTCATTTTGGTAATTTTATTTTCTATTTCTCAGTCTTTTTTTTCTGTACAGCGCTTTGGTCAGCCTTGGTTGTTTTTAAATGTGCTTTATAAATAAATATTGTATTGTATTGTATTGAAAGATAGTGTATATAATATAAGACATGATGTAACAAAATGTCAAGTGAGTTCACATGCTTATTGTTTCTACTAACTATTCTTCTTCTTATAATTGTTTGCAGGGACGCCCTGACTAAAATGAAAGATGTCTACATTAAAAATCCTCACTTGGGGGATCCAGACAGTATAGATCCACGGTTAGAAGAAATCACACAAAGCTTGGAAAAATTGCAGCTTGAGGCACATAAATTTGAGGTGAGTCAAATTCGGTCAGGTACCTTCAAATGTCAATCGTGAATATGTATACTGTGATTTATGTGTGTTTTTGTCTCATACTCAGTGTAGTATAATATTGTATTGGATGTTTACTACCTGTATTTGAGTCCCTTATATATACTGTGTATGTTGTAAATTGTAAATATTTTTAATACTGTACATACGGTTGTGTATATATTTTATTATTGTCATCCATACTGTCTGTCAAGCTGCAGAGATTGCATCAAAGAATTTCACCACGTGTACACTTGTGTTCATGGTGTTGTGACAAAGTGATTTGATTTGATTAGAATGATTAACTATTACAAATAAATAGAAAGATCTGTTGCTTGTGTGTTCTCAGGGCTGGCTGACGGAGGTGGAGAGGAAGTTACTTGAAAAGGGATCTGAGTCTCAGAGAAGACAGAGCAATCATTTTGACTCGCAGGGCAACACGCCTCTTACAAACAACTACGGTCAAAACCGAGAGAGGTACTTCAGTCCCAAGACAGCAGGGCTGCCAAACATAATGCACAGAATGAGATGTCACATTTATTTAAAGAACGCATGTAATGAGAGTTCGTTTTACTATGAAAGCATAAAGGGATAGTTCCCCCAAAAATGAAAATTCTGTCATCATTTACTCACCCTCAAGTTGTTCCAAACCTGTATGAATTTATGTCTTCTGCTGAACACAAAAGAAGATCTTTTGAAGAATGTCGGTAACAAACAGTTAATGAGCCCCATTAACTTCCATAGTATTTTTTTCCTGTTTGGTTACCCGTATTCTTCAAAATATCTTCTTTTGTGTTGAGCAGGAGAAGGAAATTCATAAAGGTGAATAAATGATGACAGAATTAACATTTTTGGGTCAACTATCCCTTTAACATTCATAACTCTAAACTTCTCCAAAAAGACTGTGGATGCATCTCTGAACTCTTTAACATTATAAAAAAAATGCTTATGAAAAAAAAAAGCTATTAAAACATGGTCTTATTTTGACACTACAGTAGTCTTATAAGCGGACGTGAATTTAGTACAGCCTCACGCGAGGCATGCGATGGTGTAACATTAACTGTATAATCTGACTATAACGCCAAAGTTAATTTTGTCTGTTTTACGCATTGCATGTCTTCTGCACATAGTCCGGATGGCAGCTACACGGAAGACCCCAGCACAGAGACGACGATGCAGTTCAAATCGCGCAGTACTGAGTTCGATGACGAGTTTGACGACGAGGAACCTTTACCCACTATTGGAACATGCAAAGCACTTTATCCATTTGAAGGTAACGGAAAAGAAAAATGTGTTAAAAGTTCAAATGTGCCAGGATTTCACGTCTGCTCAGTGGATCCGAAGCCCTTTGTCAGGTTCTGGGATAATAAGTTTAAAGTAGTTTCAACCAAAATGGGTTTTTCATTTATATTTGTTCACAAAATTAATTTTGTGCATTTAAGCATAAACTTTTAGATCAAAACATGTTTAATATTATGAGAAATATGTTGAAGTGTAAGTGTATCTGAACTTCTAATTTTATATTATTTTATGGCATAAATACATACAAATTTGGATTGAGAAATTGCAGAATGGAAAAAATGAACACATGCAAACATAAATAAAATTTAACATTAAATAAACAACATTAAAATTCGATTATTTTAAGATTTTAAAACACAACTTTTTAAACAATTTATTCAATTAACTAAAATAAATGAAAACAATAAAATTTGTATAAAATTCAAAAATGAGTGAAACACTTTTTTACACAATTATTTGCTTGTTGAATTCATAATTTTTCACAATATTTTTGACATAATGAGAAATATATTGAAGTGTAAGTGTGTCTAAACTTTTGACTGGTTCTAAATTTATGTAATACATTTTATGGCAGAAAAATACAAATTTGGATTGAGAAATGGCATAATGTAAAAAATATAAAATTTAAAAAAAGTACACTTACATTTTCAATAAGCAACAATAAATTTACAATGAAATTTAAGGAATAAAAATAAAACTTTTTAAACATTTTACTCTAAAAGAAATATATTGAAATGTAAGTGTCTAAACTTTTTACAATTTTATGATCGATGAATATACTCTCTCTCTCTCTCTCTCTCTCTCTCTCTCTATATATATATATATATATATATATATATATATATAAATTGGATTGATAATTGGCAGAATGGAAAAAATAACAGAAATACAAAATTAACATACAAATATTTTAAACAAACAACAATAAAAATACAATTAAATTTAAGAATTAAATATAAAACGTAAAAAAATTACTCAACTAAACGTCATTATAATAAAAACAAAATAAACAAGTATAAAATGTGAAAATGAGTAGAAACTAGGGATGCACCGAAATGAAAATTCTGGGCCGAAACCGAAAATTCTAGATACACGTGGCAGAAAACCGAAACCAAATATAATTATTAATTTCTTATTTTAAATTATTTTTTTGTGTAATAATTGTATTATTATTAAACTTTTTAATTAAATTCAATAATCTAATGAATCTGAATAAAAAAAATTCAAGCCAATAAAATAAAATAACCACACTTTTATTTCAAGTAAAACATGTGGACATAAAATAGGCCTATATTAAAATAATATTAAATATCAATATTTTAATATCAATATACACTCACCGGCCACTTTATTAGGTACCCCATGCTAGTAACGGGTTGGACCCCCTTTTGCCTTCAGAACTGCCTCAATTCTTCGTGGCATAGATTCAACAAGGTGCTGGAAGCATTCCTCAGGGAGTTTGGTCCATATTGACATGATGGCATCACACAGTTGCCGCAGATTTGTCGACTGCACATCCATGATGCGAATCTCCCGTTCCACCACATCCCAAAGATGCTCTATTGGGTTGAGATCTGGTGACTGTGGAGGCCATTTTAGTACAGTGAACTCATTGTCATGTTCAAGAAACCAATTTGAAATGATTAGAGCTTTGTGACATGGTGGAAGTAGCCATCAGAGGATGGGTACATGGTGGCCATAAAGGGATGGACATGGTCAGAAACAATGCTCAGGTAGGCCGTGGCATTTAAATGATGCCCAATTGACACTAAGGGGCCTAAAGTGTGCCAGGAAAACATCCCCCACACCATTACACCACCACCACCAGCCTGCACAGTGGTAACAAGGCATGATGGTTCCATGTTCTCATTCTGTTTACGCCAAATTCTGACTCTAACATCTGAATGTCTCAACAGAAATCGAGACTCATCAGACCAGGCAACATTTTTCCAGTCTTCAACTGTTCAATTTTGGTGAGCTCTTGCAAATTGTAGCCTCTTTTTCCTATTTGTAGTGGAGATGAGTGGTACCCGGTGGAGTCTTCTGCTGTTGTAGCCCATCCGCCTCAAGGTTGTGCGTGTTGTGGCTTCACAAATGCTTTGCTGCATACCTCGGTTGTAACGAGTGGTTATTTCAGTCACTGTTGCCCTTCTATCAGCTCGAACCAGTCTGGCCATTCTCCTCTGACCTCTGGCATCAACAAGGCATTTCTGCCCACAGAACTGCCGCTCACTGGATGTTTTTTCTTTTTCGGACCATTCTCTGTAAACCCTAGAGATGGTTGTGCGTGAAAATCCCAGTAGATTAGCAGTTTCTGAAATACTCAGACCAGCCCTTCTGGCACCAACAATCATGCCACGTTCAAAGTCACTCAAATCAACTTTCTTCCCCATACTGATGCTCGGTTTGAACTGCAGGAGATTGTCTTGACCATGTCTACATGCCTAAATGCACTGAGTTGCCGCCATGTGATTGGCTGCTTAGAAATTAAGTGTTAACGAGCAGTTGGACAGGTGTACCTAATAAAGTGGCCGGTGAGTGTATTATTATTATTATTATTATTATTATTCATTCAGTTCTATGCAGCAGAATTAGAGTTTGCAGATTTATTTTTGACCTATTATCAAAATAAAGAAGTCCTACAAAGCTATTATTATCAGAGCGTGTGAACAGATAGCAGGAAGAGGATCAGTGAACAAGAGGATAGTGTCATTTTACCAGCGTTGCCCAGCAAGTTGTGAATTGTTAAGTTGTGAGTCGCTTTGGATAAAAGTGTCTGCCAAAAGAATGTACTCAAAATTAACAAATAAAACCGAAACTGAACAGTGAAACTGGTTATTGAATGATGCTGATATTGTGATAATAAAAAAAGTTTTATGGGTGAAGGTATTTTTTTATTAAGTTGACACGCTTGTTTTGGAAACAAATAAAAATGGCGTGTTTTTGCGTCTGTAGGTCAGAACGAAGGTACCATATCCATGGCCGAGGGTGAAATGCTGTATGTAATCGAGGAGGATAAGGGTGACGGATGGACCCGTGTCCGCAGAAACGAGGACGAGGAGGGATACGTGCCCACATCCTACATCAAACTCTTTTTGGACACGAATGCCAAAGGTGCTATGACATACATATAATCCCACGCCACAGAACACCCGGAAAGGGTCATTAGTGAACGCCGTTTGTACATTACCGTTTGTACACTGTACATACAGTAGAAGATCATGAAAATGTCCTCATTGAACAGGAAGCAGAGCAATTTCTGTTTGTACATGTTCAAGATGCCATGTGTCATTTCTCAATTTTGGTCTTTATTTACGTTTTTTCAGACTTTGTTTCTGCATCCATAAGGGTAAATTAGGCAATAAAGACACAGCTGCTGTGCAATTTTGATATATCTGATGGAATGGCATTATATATAGCATTATAGCTTGGCATTATGGTGGTTTTCTGCTATAACCAAGATATTCATATTTTTTAACGATCTACATGCAATCAAATACTTTTAGATTAGCAGCCAAATGATTAAGAAATGTCATGAGCGGGAAAACTAATATTCTGAAACCTTCTGGCAATAAAAAATGATTTACTAATATTTTGACCTTAAAACTACAAAATAAGAAGCAATCCTGCATTTTAACTATAGTGTTTTTAATTGTAATAATTTTTTAAGACGTCGAAATATCTGACTTGAGAGAATCTTTTGCATGAGAGATGGAATAGAATATTTTCTCAGGTATGTTTACGTTGGTCTACATCCTTGTACCTCAAATCCTGAATACACAGGATTTTTTTCTTTCCCCTGCTGCAAATCACATTCAATTTAAATGCATATCGTTAAATGTGAAGAGCTCGAGTGATTAATGCATGTATCTTTGAGACTTTAGCTAGCTTTGCATTTACTGCTGTACAAAAAAGATCAGCTTTAGAAGTAAAAAAAATATACTCAAGAACCCATAGTTAACACAATGCCTTTCAGTGTAGTGAGCGTTGAAGCAATAATTCAAAAGATGCATGTTATTTGTACATTGACCAGCATGGAAAACTAGAGGTTTCCAGAAGGTCAACGCAGTGTGTATTAGGAATATTTACAGCAGGAACACCGCTCTATATGCATGCTATTAACCAGACAGGCTACTTATTGCTGCTTAACGGATTCATAATTTGTCCATAGCTTTATCAGCAGCTGTTAAATATGCTTGATAGTGTCGCAAGCTAAATATATGAACAGTTTTGTATCGTTTTATACCGTCCCTGTCTTTAATTCACATGACACAGTGGAGCTGCACTCTAAAGTTGATCTTCCGTGGTTGACTGAACGTTTTTAACCCATCATTTCATTGCTGTCTGTGAATCAACGATTGTACAGGAATGTCATGGTTCAATTCTTATGCAACATCTCTAACATGTCTTGTGTGATTTTTTTTTTTTTTTTTTTTTTTTTTTTTTTTTTTTGTTTCTGTTCCTTTCTTTGCAGATCCCTAAAAGTGTTTGGCTGGCACAGGAGTGGCAGGGCAAGCGTCCTTGCGTGAAACGTCCTCCTCTTGTAACTGTAGTCAGAGATGTGGGACAATGTGGGACTAACTGAAAGGATATTCCATTTTTAACGCAACCTCTCTTTCACTGAACTCCTCTCGTCTGCCATAATAATGCAAACCGATCTTTTTCATGACTAGCGTGCTGATTATTTGCTAAAGCTTGCTTCTCGTATGGACCTACAGTAGAATATTTAGCCGTAGCTGCTTGCCGTCAGAGCAGAGCCTTTAGGTTTGTTTGCAGAGGCACAGAGTAAGTGCCGTGTACATGTCTTGTTATTGCCTGGCTTGCTTCAGAGCCGAGAGGAGTTTTCTCATGAAGACATTAGACTTAATGAATATTTGTCAGTGCAGACTGTTCAGTTGTGTGAAAACTATAAAAATGTGGGGGATAAATGGGACTCATTTTATACATTATAGGCTTGCTTTGTTTTGTTGTACACTACAGTGTTTGCAAGGCGGCACTGTATTTAAATCCTTCTTTTTTCTTCTTCTGCTACAATTTTGTGCAATTAATCCAGTTAAAACTATAATACATTTAAGATTAAGATTAAAGACCCATTAAAATGGCAATTGATGTTGATGACTGAATCAATGGACATAGCGAACGGTTTGGGGTCAGTAAGATATATAACATTTTTGGAAAGAAATTAATACTTTTATTCAGCAATTCATGCTTTAAATTGGCCTAATGTTACAGAAGATTTCTATAACAAATAAATGCTGTTCTTTTGAACTTTCTATCAAAGAATCCTGAAAAAAATGGATCATGGTTTTGACTGTAAGATCATGTAAGACTGGAGTAATGATGCTGAAAATGTTTGCATCTTTGCATCACAGGAATTAATTACATTTGTAAATAGTAAGTTAGAATTTTTAATATTTCACAATATAGTGGTTTTTTTTTTTAGCAAATAATGCAGCCTGAGTTTTATTTCAAAAACATCTTACTGACCCCAAACTTTAGGGGTCTTTAAACCGACTTACGATCGAATGTTTTTTAAAATGTAAAGGGGTCATGACATGAATTATTTATTTATTTTGTACCTATTTTCAACCTTCATTCTTGACCCCCGTCTGAAACGTTCCGTTTTTAAGGGGCGGCAACTTTAAGGCTTGTCAGTAAACGGCATGTAATGATTGGCTAACGTCATTGCATAGGAAACAGTATCAGCGTGTTTTGAAAACATCCATATAAAACCATCATTTACAGACGAAGCATTATGAAATCGTTTGCTTACGGTGTGTGATGCAGCTGCTGTCAGATCCAATACAGTTGGGTGCTTCATCTTTCAACAAAAGTTTCTTTGTGATCTCTCCATTTCACTGAGCCTAGCTGACAAAATGCTCCTTACAAACATATAATCCTCTGACGCGATCCGGGACGCCGGATAGATGTGTAGACCGCGTCAATGATTATAATGGGTTCTATTTGCTTTTGACGCGATGCTACGGCCACATCCAGTGTAGGCAAATGTCAGCCGTTAAAGGTGAACTTAGTAACTTTTTTACCTTAACCGAACAGCTTTGGAGTCATTGTAATGTTTATATTACTGATTTCGTGTTGAATGGTGGTCGTCTCGCACCCCCCTGGTGCCTGTAAGCCGCAAAACCACCCTTGCAACTTTGGGCCGGCGGGCTAGGGCTAGTGTTAGGAAGTATCATGTGATATCAGGTCTCGCGAGGTAACGAATTGCTTTACGGCAAAAAAAACAGATCTGATAAAATGAGCATCAAACAGAAATAACCCGGCGCCGTATACATGTGGTGTTCGAGGCGCACATACAATACAGACTGCCGACAGTTAAACAGGGCGTGCGCAGCTCTTAAAGGGGCCCTACCTTATTTCCACTCGTTACAGCGTCCATCCTACTGAACAGGTACCGGTGTACAGGGGGAGAGGATCCGGCCGTGAGTGCTATTCACGGCAGTACAAGTACTCCACAGCGACTCTAGGGGTCGCTGTTTGACAAAAACGGAATTCCTACTTAGTGCTGCTTTAAGCGACTGAATGCCAGTGGGCGGGGCCTATGGTGCGATGATGTATAACTATTCGTGGATATCTTGCTCTGGAGGCAGTCTCATGCAAGCGTATTTGCCTGTGTGTCGTCACAGATCCCGCAATATCAAAACAAGCTGTTTTTGGAGCTTGATTAAACAAAATACTTTGTTTATAATGAGGAGGACGTTTTAAGCTGTAAAACTTGCAGGATGTTTGAATGGTACAAAGACCAACTCCTATATGTCAAAACATCAAGGCAAATTTGATTTTGCATGTCATGACCCCTTTAACAGACAGTGAATGTCATTGTAATATATGCATACTGAATTGTTTCTTTTCCAGCTGTATTACTATCAATCTCTGTTTGTAAATTTAAGCAATCATTTTACCTTAACACTGTTCTTTTGCTGCCTTGCAAGCACTGGTATTTCCATCAGGAAATGCAAATCTGGTTATTATTATTACTATTATTATTATGAATGCATAATCATCCCCTACATTTTGTGTGAGGTGCTGTTGTAGATGAATAGTTCTCTATGGCAGGTGAAGTGGTAAGCATCTTTTCTGGTTCTTTACTCTTTCCTCCCAGAGAAGAAAGAAGTGTCACCTCACTCACTCATTCACACTTTCTTCCTGCGATGTGTGCACACACACCACAGCTGCTCCCTTCTTTCTCTCGCTCTCTCTCACCTCTATTCTGTTTCTCTCACTGTTGCTGTTTCGCCTCTTTATCTTTCTTCTTTTCATATTTTTCTGCATCTGTAGCCATGTTTTGATGGGCCCCGTTTGATTTTGATTTTACCATAGGATGTCTGGTCAGGTAAATTAGTGTTTTTACAGATTTAAAAAAAAAAATGTTTGTCTGAATCAAACACTATCATAATAAAGAGCAAACTACTTATGTTTATCGGCTAACTTGGAAAGTGGATAAGCTTGTCTGTAATTATTGTTTCACAACTACCCCAACTAAAGGCACGTTCACACCAAGAATGAATACTATAAAGATAACTATAACAATAACTACATTAGCGTCCGTTCACATCAACACACAATATCTTTTTGTTTAAGAGTGCTGCAGTATTGTCATCTGCCACTTTAAATGCTCGAGCTCTGAAAGTGATTCCAACAATATCGTTTCTCTGTGCCGTCATAGTTGTGGTGTGAACTGCTATTCTTTTATTTTTAAACGATTTTTAGAACTATATCTTTATCGTTATAGTTATTGTCCTTGGTGTGAATGGCCCTTAAAGTTAAATATCTCATTGCACTGCCTGGTAGACCTTAGTTATAAATGTAGACTTTTTGCCAAGTTTCTAGGTAAATGGTTAGTTGGCTGATTCAAGATAGTAATAGTTGATACTAATCCTGTAAGAAATCAAAAATGAGGTAGTATTTACTGTGAAATTTCACTAATAATAACAAAGAAACGGCAAGTAACAGAATTAAATGTCATTTTGAAGTAGAAGGACTAAGGGGTCGTTTACACGACACTGTTTTCAACTAAAAACAAAAACTATTTTTTTATGCATTTTGACCATCCGTTTACACGACAACGGCGTTTTGAGGGCCTGAAATCGCAATCTTTTGAAAATTAGTTTCAAAGTGCACGTTTTTGAAAACTACATTTTTATTGTCTCTGTGTAAACTACAAAAATGCAAATATGTGGAAGCGGTGACGATACGTGCATGTATATTGCATAATGCATAATTCAGCGTTTTTAGTCGTTTTTACTGATCTGTGTGAACAGGGATCGTTTTGGCATTGCCGTGAACAGGCATTGCCGTTTTTACACAAAACTTTTCAAAAAAAAAACGCAAAGGAAAGACTTTTCCGGTTTTAGTACATCGTTGTGGTGTAAGCGAAAAAGTATTTTTTTTTTTGTCTAACTTTACTCCAATAATCTTTATTTCGAAAAATCTTTTTTACAGTGTGCTGACAACACTGGCAAAGATATATATATATATATTTAAGTCTCACTGCGCTATATTGGAATGTCACTTGGCCAATCAAATAATTGGATTCCATCTGAATCAGTACATGAAATCCCAGATGTCCTCTATTATTGTAACTTTAATTGGCATTTAGAAAAGTGATCAGCCTCTTTTTTTCTCTCTTCTTCTGCTCTTTTTCTTTCATTCTCTCTCTCTCTCTCTGTCAGCGCAGTGGATGTGGCTGTGTATGGTGTAGCTGTAGTGGTGCAGTCCAGTAGATGTTGATGGTGGTCCTCAGCTGGTGCTGTGTTTCGACGCATGCATGCTTGCCCTGTCTCTGTGTGTGTGCCAGTCTTAGGGGGTCCAAGTCTCCATAAAGTTCAAGCCTTCGACTTCTGATGGTTGAACTTAAGCTTTTTGAATTGTGTTTGTGCCTGTTTATTTCCTTCTCTACTTTATCTTGAGTGTTTTATTTCTTTTGGAAAAGATATGCATGGTCTTGTCTCTACACATCCCCCTAAGTTATTCTTTTAAATTGTTTACACCGTTTTAGGTTCTTTTTTTTTTTTTTGAGTCTCTCTGAATGATTGATATCCAGGTCCAAGATTAACAGTCACCAAGCGCTAAGTAAATATATCATTACTTGCTAATTAACTACTAAGAATAAAGTCGATAAAACCTGCTGGTTTTATCTGATATAAGTGAATCAAATGTGATTCAAAGACACATAAAATATGTAACACTATTAATAACATTTCTTGTTATATTTCTTGCACCAAAACAAAATCATACGTGTCTTTGTTCTTTTACACAACGACCTGCAATGAACCAAACTGTGTTTTGAATACAAATATTGCAATGAGAAATATTTTTGCTCTGTTAATTTTGGACCCTGTCAATATCATTCTGATTTCATTTTTGATGTTAAATGCAAGTATTTACCTCATTCAGGATAGATTTGGACTGCTCTTCAATAATAGGTTCTGAACGTTACGAATACGGTCATATCCATTCATGAGGAAACACTACTGCAGAGCTGAAATGTCTGTTTTTCTGTATATTGTGCTTTTGAACTTGCTGGATCCCTTCCTTCGAAGACCTCATAAACATAAAACTGCCAAATAAAGTGTGAAAGGCTTGTGACTTTTTTTGCAAATGCTAACCAGTATAGTCGACAATGATTTGAGTTTTATTTCAGTTATCAAATCATTCATATTGTAAAAGTCAAAATTGTATGTCTGTCGAACTGAGCAGTTTTTATGTAGAAGTTTAACAAATTAAAGGTCATTTTAAAATGGTTCTATTTGTCCCGTTTCTCATTTAACTAAATGATTGTGTAACGTTGTGTAGATCAGCTGGATTTAGTTCTGGGCCTTGATTTAACATCCATTATTGTTTGTTGTAACAAAGTGAACCAGGTTTTAATGTGGTCTTGCATAAATTACTGCATGTCATTCAACCCATTTATGTTCCTAATTTAGCTAAATTATACTGCTACTGTATGTTAGCGAAGTTTGATTCAACCTCATTTTTAGATTTTATTTATTTATCTTAAGGA